ATTTTTCTACAAGGGAATTCTCATAATTATTTGAGAATTAAGACTAGAATCAAATAAAAAACAAAGAAACTGAAAAAGATTATTTAACAAACTTTTAAATATATCAAACAATAGAAAAAAATATAGCAAATAAGATAGATCAAAATCCAAATTTAGTAGAAATCTACGAACCTCAAATTTAAAATAATAGCTTAAATTAAAAAACTTTTCAAGATATAAATTTATTCAAAAACACTGAAAATTAATCTCCAAAAACTTATCGAGCAAGCTCAGAATTAAAATTTTTAAGTTCAAAAGGAATTCTTGATAAATAAAGCATTGAAATATAATTTTAAAACTATTCAAGAAGAATACCAACAAACCCATTTGAATAACCAGAAATAATTTTTTCTCCAACAATTCTTAGTAATGAAAGACAACAGGTTCTTATAAACTAAACAAATGAGTAAAAAGATTTTGTTTTTTTCCCAACTTAAAATATTTAATCACTAAATCAGAATCTATAAGAAATTTCATTTAATAATGCATCTTAATAATACTTTAACAAATTTATCATAAAAAATAACTCAAACATAATTTAAAATAAAAACATTGATCTTCAATTTTTAGAAGAATAAAGTCTGAGTTATGAGTTGTAAAATCTAAATAGAGAAAAAAGAAAAAAATATTTTCAAGAATAAGAAGAAATAAAGCAAGAGTTAAAAAACGAAATTGCTAGTGTCAACTCTAGTAAGTACAGCACTGAGGAAATATTGAAAAAGAAAATGATATAAAGAATTAAAAAAGCAAAATTTACCAATGGATTGTAATTAATAACTTTCACAGGAGTTGGAGCTTTTGCTATTCTCAGTATTGTATCTTTAATCATTTACATTCAGAATTTAAAAAGCTTAGATTCATTTGTCCAGTCTTTTTTGAAAATTGATGGTGCTATATTTTGCTTTATAGATGTTATGAATCTTGTCGGACTTAACAACTATTAAAGTGTTCTAGGTTATAGTCAATCCTTAATTATAGACAGTTTAGATCTTTAAAATTATGAATATAATCAAACTGATTTTTAGCAGTAAAGAACATTATAAGATTATAATCTAAACTTACAAAAGCTTGTTTTAAATAATGACAGTGGAGATTAGCTGGATGAATTGCAAAAAAATATGTTTTAAGTTTAAATTTACGCAGCTGGGTTTTATAACAATGCTCGGGCTCAATAAAATTCCACTACTACTTTTGAATAAAGTTTATAATACACCCTAATGGAGTTTTTCTATGAAATTGTATTTTATTATATCAATTATGAGGAATAGTAAGAAGATTTTATCTGGGGAAACATCTACAACTTCAAATAAAGAATGAAAAATTTACAACAAATTGTTGAAAATTATGCTCAAGAAGAATTCAATAACATGAATTTGTATTAAACATTTGCAATCGCCTTATTTGCAACCATAAGCGCTGTACTTGTTTTTTCAATTTTACCTCTAAATATTTTGATTCAATCTGAAAAGGAAAAGATTTTAAAACTTTTTGGCACATTTTCTCCATCTACTATGGAGTCTTAAATCGAATAAATTGAACTTGGTCTTTATAAAATAGAATAATTCAATGCCTTAGAATAAACTAATAATAATAATTCATTTAAACAAGCTTAAAATTAGTAAAAGCAAATACAATAAATTAAAAATCTTAACTTAAATTAAAATTTCCTAAGTGAATAAGCTTAAAAATATGAAAACAGTTAAAACAATTATGTTCCTAAATATATTCAAAGATAGTTAGACAGACGCAGCAGGTAAATAGCATCTTTTAGTAGTATAAAAAAATTTAACTTAGCATTGTTTTTATTTGGGATAGTTGCTGTAGTGCTACTTTTAGTGATGCCTATTTTAAATTTTGTTGTATTTAATCCTTTTGAAGCTGAATCCAAAGTCACTTTAAAAGATAGAATTTCCTTGATCGATGTTTATTCATTAACTATTGAAAACTTTTGCACTCATATGGAATAAATATATCTAATCTTTATAGGCACGCCTCCCTCAACTTCTTATTATCAAACCTACTTACAAAATCTCTAAAATAATAATCAACAATCATTTTAAAACCTTTAAGACTTAACTATTGATTTAGATATAAAAAGAAATAATTAAGGTTTATATGTGGATTTTTATTAAAATCTGTTAAATTCAAATGTGTGCCAAGTGAGATAAAATTACCCTTAATATTTTAACTCCAATATAACCGAAACCGATTGCAACAATATATTTAATGGTATATTATAAAGGGGATTAATCTTTTCAGTTTAAAAGGTGTTTTAAACATTTTAAGAATTGTATCAGATTTATTAAATTTAAGATATCAATGAAGTTACTAATTAATTGATTTACTTTCAAACTTAGTATTCATTAATTCAATTGAAATAGCTGATTCAGATAATCTCAGAAGCGGTTAATGGAATTAGATAGTACTAGAATGATTAGCTGTAGTCATATGAAAATCAAGTGAAATAAAATTTGCTGTACTTGTTTATTATTTAATTAATAATTTTTTGTATTGTGTTTTTAATAGGATGGGTATACCTCTTTTACTGGTTCAAAGGTTAACTTCGAAACGTAACAAAAATTTTTAAATTGTTCCACATAAATCTTCTGTATGAAAATTAATTCATCTAACAATATTTTAAACAAATACAAATTGAGAAATGAATATAATATATAAATATATCAAAATACTTTTAAGTTAGAAAAATATATTTCAAGTATTAAAATAAAATCATGCAATTAAAATTAAAAATTGAACAAAATTTAAAGTAAAATAATTAAATATATTTAAATGAAATGTATTAATTAATTTATGTATTGTATTTTTATTCAATCTTTAAATATCATTTGTTTAATTTATCTAAAATATTATTTTTTTAATTTATCTAAAATATTATTTTTTTAATTTAAAAAAATCGTTTTAGTGATTTTAATTAAGTCTTTTAAATTCAAGTATTTTAAAATTTTTATCATTTTACTATATAAAATCAAAAGCTTTTATCCTCATACCTTCCTATTCGAAAAACAATGTTACTATTAAATTAATTATGATTTTTTTCTACTTTTATAAATTTAAATAAATAAATGAGCGAGCAATGTAACACAAATGAAAAATTTCATAAATTCTTTTTAAATTAATTTATTTTTTTTTTGAATCTTAATTTGTTATTATTAATTACATCACCTTTGCTATTTTTAGTATTTTTTCTTTTGAATATAAATGAAAATCTGACTAAAATCTTTAATTTAGACACTTGCCTATAAAATCAACTCTTTCATTGTATTTTATTTAACAGAAACCACTTCTCATATATTTAATGAATAACAACCCTCTATTATATTTTATTCGTAATATTCTCGGATAATTATTTTACATATATTTAGTAGTTGAATAAATATTATTTTATAAAATAAAGAAAATTAAATAATTGTGAAAAAGAAAAAATCTTTAATCACAGATTTAATTTACTTCATAAGAATGAATGTAAATCTTTTTATCAGTTAAAATTTATTAGATCCTCTTCTATTTTTAGATTTATTTAAAGAAGTCAAAAATAATTTGCTAAACATTAAAATAATTTATTTCAAAGTAAGTACTATTTTTCATAAAGCTGATTTTTACTTTTTTAAATTGCAAATTTGTTTATGGTTTTAAAAGTTTTAGATGTATGTATTTTGATTAGAATTGCTAAATCAATGAAGTATCAATCTAATTAATAATTGAATCTTTCTTTATAAATGAAAATAGTACAAAAACAACTTTACTGATTTGATTCTATTAATAAAGTATATTTTAAAAGATAATTGAAATTAAAAAATAATATATTTACTGATTAAAAAAATATATGATATTGTAAATTATACTTACTTTTTTACCTACTAGTCTTATTTATTTTTGCTGATTAAATGATAATTTTAATCAAAAAAATAAAATTATGAATTAATAAAAATAAATTAAACTCTTTAAATCCTAAAAATATAAATGATAGATAAAAAAGTTCAGCCGAAATTCAAAAGCAATTTTTTCATTCGGGTAAAATAATTTTATATGAATGATTTGATTAAGCTTTTTCATCCTGTCAAACTGAGTAAGAATTTATCAATTTCAATGGTTATAATTAACGGTATAACTGTACTTTCATTTGTATTTAAGAATAGTTAGAATAATTTATCATAATTACCAGAGGCAATATAATAAAATAAAATGAATAAATTGTCGAATTTCGTCAAATATTTTTAAGCTATACCTTTAATTAATGATTACTTTGATCATGAGAACTTTTACTAAAAACAACTGGCTCTTGTTTCATTTTTTTTAAATAGCTGCTTTATCTTAGCTTTGGTTATTACATATAATTCAAAAAAGTTTAAGCTGGTCAAATACTTGGCAAAATGCTGTTTCTTTTATGCAAGGTTCTACAATTATTGGCCATTTTATGTATTTCTCAATGTCTCTACCTTTATTCTATCATAGAATACTTAAATATACTCTTTAAATATTTTAGTACTATCCTATTTAAATATTATATTTACACTATTCATAGGTAAATTTCATCATTAATTGCTTTCAAATTTAAATAAAATTTGTTAAAATCAAAATTTTAAGATATTGATTAAATCCACCATTATTAAAAATTAGCACTGACTTCATTTATTAAATTTTTAATAAATGCATACATGAATAATAAAAGCAACTGATTCTTACATAATCATAAATCAAAATCTTTTTTTTTATATTTTAGGATATTTTTTGGAAATCCATGATTTCAGCTACTCATTCCAAGAATCAGGTAACTATCTATCTAAACGACCAAACAAATTAAAACTACTATTGCTATGCTTGAGAACTATTTTAATATTTCTCTATTAATTTTAAAACCATTACTGTGTTGCCATCTATTCCTTACTGTATTTTTTAGTTGAGATTAGTTTTTTATTAGTGGATGACTATTATTTATCAAGCTTTATTAACTAAATCTATTGTTATTTGATTGCTTTCTCATTTCAAGTTTCTCTTTGTATTACGCTACAAATATTTATTTTCAAAAATACTGAAGCTTTTATTGCTTGCATATTCACAGTACCTTTGTCTATTAAAATAATCAAAAATTACAAAGAAAAATAAAACTAGAGCTTATTTGAAAAGTTTTAAAATCATAAGGAATTTTTGAAATGTAGTGACTCAGAATTCTTAAAAATTATAAGATTGTTATTTAACTAATCGCTATTAAGCTAAGAAAGCTATCTAAATAAAGGACAAGGAATCAATTACGAAACAATCATATAAATCCATGAATAGAATTGCGAAGATCAATATTAATCTTGTTTTTGCTATAAATACAGAAAACACGTAATAAACAAACAAACAAATAAATAAATTAGTTTTATTTTAATAAACAAATTCTATTTATTTATTACATAAATTAATGAATTTATTAAATTTGAATTATTAATAAAAATTTAAAAATTCAAAAAAAAATTAATGAAGATAAAAAGAAAATTAAGATTTTTTAAATGCCTTTTTTTATTGCTTAAATTTTATTTGAATTGATAAAATATTTTTAAATAAAGGAGAAAGAAGATTGTCTGTAAATAAAAGAAATGTCTGATTTACATTTTAGGTAAGAGTATGTTCAGAGAGTAGCAAATCACTTATTAGAATAGCATATTAATATAAAGCGAATAGAAAAACCCAAATACAATATGAACGAATTAAAATTATCACATTTAAGCTATCTTCATGAAATAATAAATAATCCAACAAAAAGTCTTGTAAGTCTTTATAAAATGTCAAACGAATTAGTAAATTAAAAAAATTTAATTGGCTCGGCTTAGCTATTTTACTTTTAGCAACTTAAGAGATAAATTTTAAAAGATAAATAAAGCAAATTGTCTTACAGCAAAATTGAAAATTAAAACTTAAACATGATGGGTGCTATTATTTTTGATGATAAAATAAATGATTGCAAAGAAAAATTAAGAGCAATTTTGCTTTAAATTGGCAGTTTTTACGATTTTCTTAGTGGAGACTTTATTAATTTGTCATAATTATAAGAAATGTATGTTCCAATAGTAAATCAAAAGGAAGATTTAGAATAAAGTTTTATTGAGTTATTTTAAATAAATCCTTATGATTTGGATCTTGAGTATCTAACCTACATTTTCATATAAATTATGGGCTTCTAAAATAGAAGTATAAAAGAATTTCAAGATGCTGCTTAAAATCTTTCTTATTAGAAAAATAATAAATCTAAAAAACTTAACTTAATCAATTAACAATCAGAAAAAATTTGTGTTATATTTACATCTTTGATAGAAAAGGAAAATGTTATTAAAAAGACTTCTAAATTATTTTAAAATATATTTGGATACAGTTCTGAATTTATTCATGGCAAAAAACTGAATACATTAATACCAAATATGCTGAAAAAACATCATGATTAAATAGTTTAATATTTTATTGATGATGAATAGATGTCTATCATTAATTTAGGTATTTTTCAATTTAAATTCTTCTAAAATTTCAATTTTTTCATCGATAAATAAATTTTTATTTTTTACTAAATAACTGCAAGAAATAAATAAATAAATAAATAGATTCCTATATTTTAACCCCTCAAAATTAATGGAGATAAAATTTAATTTATTATTACCCTTCAAAAATATAATATCGATTGATAAATAGTTTTAAATTATTGTCTAATTTGTATTAATAAAACGATATTTTAAAGTATTAAAATTTTGAAAAATTACAAATTTTATTTTATTTTTCTTTATTTTTAAGTGACTTACTTTCATCAAATAAATACAAAAAGGAAATAGAAATATATTTGGTTTAGATAGTCAAGATTTTGTTTTTCCTATTGATTTGAGAATAAAAATAGAAGCTTTTGGAAACGATTTTGGAGTCTGTGCTCTCATTCAGAAAAAGAAATAATATTTTTCTTACATATTTTTTGAAAACGAAGGAAAAATTACTGACATGTCAAGGAAAATATTTTTGGATATTTTTGAACCTCTTGGATATAAAAAAGGTAAGAAGGATAATTATTTATTTATTTATTAACACTTTATTTTCTAACAGAAAATTTAATCAATTAACTTATTATTAAATTTTTTTAATAAATAATTAGGATCTCAATTAAACATATTTGATCTGATACCTACTTTAGAAGATTTATTTAAGACATAGTAAATAAATTAGCACTTTCATTCTATTTTAGTAGTTAAAAAGCCTTAGTCAGACAAAAGCTAAACATTTGTCTCAGAAAATTTATTTTAATCCATAAAAACTAACAACAGTAGTAATATCTTTTCTTAGAATGATGAAGCTTTTCAGATTCAATTTAGATTATTAAGTCATTCTCTAAAAAATAAAATCAATATTAATTTGATTGAAATTGACCTTTACTAATAAATAACTGACCAAATTAAAAAAAATTAAATCTTTGAATACTTTAATAGATAAAGAGGAATGAAAGAAACCTTTAATTAGGAGAAAGTGTAATTTGAACAAAAAGCAGATTTCGCCAATTCTAAATAGCAGAAATATTTTTTATCAAGAGAGTTTTCTTAAATCTTTGAAAATTAAGATTTTAATGCAATGAAAAGCAAAGAGTATGAAAAAAATTCTCTTATCAGTTATTAATAACAGAAAACGAATGAAAATAGAATGGATTTAACTTTAAATTTAATAGAAAATTGCAAATAATAATCTCAAAATGATAATATTGGATAGAGACTAACTATACATCAAAAGAGTAATGATAGTTATGATTTTTAAAATATATAAAATTATCAGGAAAACAATGAAGAAAAATAATTAAATCAAAATGGAATTTATTTCAATTATTATGATCAACAATAATTAACAATAAACTAATCTTTTTCGAATGAAGCTGAGTAAGTAGAAACAAAACTGTCTCCTAGTATAAATAGCCTAGATAAACAATAAATAAAAATAAATAAACCAAATAAAGAAAGTCATTTTAAATTTTTTCCTAATAAACAAAAATAGCAATTACATATTTAGAATATATAAGAGCAGGTTGTATTGAAAAAAGTTTCAAGTTAATATTATCAGAGTAGCAATCAAAGAAAAGAAAATTTAGAGAATACCTAAAATTATTTCCAGTATAAAATAAACTAACCAGACTAATAGAGCTCATAGTCATCAAGATTAAAAAGAAATATAATAAACTGGAGAGAGAAAAAAGAACTTAAGCAAAATTAATAAAATGAAATATCTAGCATCAATTCTAGTAAATATAGCACATAATAAATGATGAAAAGAAAAATGATAAAAAAAATAAAAAAAAATGAATTTACCATAGGATTAAAGTTAATGGCTTTCACAGGAATTGCAGCTTTTCTCATTCTAATTATTGTTTCTTCAGTCGTTTATATTCAATATTTAAAAAACTTAAATTCCTTTGTTGAATCACTTTTAAAAATAGATGACGCTCTTTTTTGCTTTATAGACACTTTAAATTTCATTTCGCTAGACAAATATGAAATTATTCTTTAAAAGAATAAATTTTTAATTATTGATAGTAGAGATCTTTAAAAATATGAATTAAGCCAAATTAAATATGAGCAATATGCATTAATATAAGATTATAATTCTAAAATGGAAAGTCTTGTTTTGAATAACAATAGTGATGAATAGCTTTATGAACTGCAAAAAAACTTGTTAGAAGTTAAAATTTATGGAGCTAAAACTGAAAATTATGATGAATAAAATGATAATGTCTCTATTTTTTAAATAAGTTTGTAATCTGCATTAAATAATATTTTTTAATAAATTGTCTTATATTATTTGGATTAACAAGATTCTCAAGAAGATTTTATATGGGGAAATATCTTAAATTTGAAGCAAAGAATGAAAGATTTGCAACTAATTGTTGAAAATAATGCCAAACATTAATTCGAAATTATGGATTACTACCAAATATTTGCAATTATTCTATTTTCAGCAATTAGCTCTTTGCTAATATTATCTATTTTACCTCTCAATTGTGTTATTCAATTTTAAAAGGAAAGTATTTTAAAGCTTTTTGGTACATTTACCCCATCTGTAATCGAGTTTTAGATCAAATAAATTGAATTAAGTCTTTAAAAAATCGACTAAATGAGTATCTTAGACCAAAAATGTGAAAATACAGCATACACTAGGAAGCGAAGTTCCATTAAATAAAAACAAATGAAAAAAATATAAAATCTATGCTTATATTCTTATATAGAAAGCAAAGAAGTCAAATAGTAAGAAATTAGACTAAATAATTAAGTTCCAAACTACATACAAAGATAGTTAAATAAACGAAAAAGAAAAATTGCATCATTTAGCAACATACCAAAACTAAATTTAGTATTACTTTTATTAGGTATTATTGCTTTATTACTACTATTAGTAATACCTATTGTTAATTTAATTGCATTTGATCCTTTTGAATCAGAATCTCAGCATACATTAAAAGTTAGGATTTCTTTAATTGATACTTTATCTTTAATTATTTAAAATTTTTCTTCTCATATGGAATAAGTATTTCTAATATCTAAAGAATTACCTCCTTAAAATTCTCTATAATATGAATATTTGTAAATTCTTGAAAGCTAAAACTAGTATCATTTCTTATACACCAAAAATTTAATCATAGAAGCAGGAATAGTAATAAAGGATTAAGCAATGTATCAAAATTTTTACTTGAGTCTCTTAAAATAAAATGTCTGTGATGTCATATAAAAGTATCCTTAATATTTTAATTCAAGCATAACAGAGTCGTAATGTAACAGTTTGTATAAAGGAATCCTATAAAAAGGCTTAATATCTTCAATTTAAATTGTTTTTTAAACATTTTAAGAGATGTATGAAATGTATTCAATTGAAGACATGAATGAATTAATTGATCATTTTGCTTAATCATAATATTCTTATTCATTTATTGAATTTAAATAGCTAATCCAAGTAATTTCAGAAGCTGTTAATGGAATTAGAAAATATTAAAATGACCAGTTGCAAAACAATTCATAATTACTGAAATAAAGTTTGCTTTATTTATTCTTAATTTAAATAATTATTATCTGCATAGTATTTTTAATTGGATGGGTTTATCTCTTTTACTGGTTAAGATATTAATTACAGAGTTCAATGAGAATTTTTACCTTATTCCACATCGATCTTCTCTATGAAAATAATTTTATCCACTAATATTTTAAGTAAATTCAAATCGAAGACTGAAATTCAATAAATAAAAAAAATAAAAAATTTTAAGTATCTTTATTCAAAATAAAATTAAAGAAAAATAACTACTTTATGAAGATAATAATGAATTGTGTAAATTAAATATTCTATGTAATAAATTATTTCATTGCTTGAATTAAAGTTAATTTATAAAATTGTTTTCTTATTAGAGTTTTTTTTTAAAATTTAGAACTAAAATATTAAATCAATTTTTATTAAATTACGACTTAAAGTAGATAAAAATAAATAAATACACAAAAAATATTTCAAACAAAAAAAATTGTAATTTAATAATAAATTTATATTGCTTTAAGTAATTTTAGTTGAAAAGAATGTTCAGAAACGTATATATTGATTTATCTTGGTTAGTTTGTTATTACATATTTTTTTCACTTAAAATAGATAAACATAAGTAAATAAATAAATATACAAAAATATTTAGTACAATTTATTTAATTATGAATTAAGTTGCTTTAAGTAATTTTAGTTGATTATAATATTCAGAAACGTATATATTTATTTATTTATGTTGGTTAGTTAGTTTGTTATTACATATTATTTCAATTACTTTGAGGTTATTTTTGATGATCTAATAATTGGGCCATCAATTTAATTTAGATGCAGTAAAAGATGTTTTAAAAGGGGGAAAAAAAAATAAAAGAATATTTATATAATAATTAAAAATAAAAAACTTTTGCAAAAAATGAGATTCAAACGTAAATTCAGTTTTTAGAACAAAAAAAAATAATAGAAGTTGTAAGATGCTAAGATAAATGGAAAAGATTTACTCAATTTAATAAGATTTTTGTCACAAAATATTTACAGAAATTGCGAATTTTCTGTGTATAAATGTAACTAAGAAAGTGCTTTCATTTTAGTTAAAGAAGAAGACACCACTTAGCTAGCTATGATTTAAATAAAAGAATTAGAGTTGCAAAAATATTTAAAAAATGAAAGGGAAGTTGATAATTAAATAGACAAAAATAATTCGTCATAATTGCTTACAAATATTGAAAATAAATAATACTATATTACTAAATCAAATGATTTATATTAAATACTCAAAAAAAACCAAGACCTGACAAAATTAGGAGTTGAAATACAAATTTATGAGATTGAACAAATAAATATTGATTATTGTAAGCTAAAATATCTAGAAATTTTTAAGTATTAATTAATTAATTATTTACTTAATAAAAAGAGTAGCAATCTTCATTTTTAAATGAAGGGTAAGGTATTAGTTATCACCATATTGCATATAGCGAAGTAATTTATTTATTTATTTTTTTTATTTGGTCTTAATAATATTTCTTCTTAGCTCATTCTTCTTTGATTTTTAATTAATTAGATTAATGACAGTGGCAATGAAAATATCAAAGCCATACAAATTAAGTAATTAGATTATAAATATTTCTTATTTGTTTTAAAAGTTCTACAAAAATTAGATCAATTTATGAAATAATTCAACATTATTCATCATAATATCAGTCAATTATCTAAATGCTAATTTCTGGAGATTTGGTAGAATCTTTAATTAAAAGAATTAATTTATGCCAAAACATAGAGGTTCTCACACTGCAGTTAAAGTAATTTAATTTAATTTTTTAACTAATTTATATTTATTTTATTATAGCTCTAGCAACATCGCTAAAAAGCAAGCAGCTGTTTTGGGCTAAGGCATTTCTCGCTGCGTCAATCTAAATAATTTAGATTTAAATTTAGGGTGAATTTTAGAAATTTATTTAAATTCCAAAATGCAATCAATATTGTGCAATTAATTAATTAGCGTCAATTAAATTGATGACTGTGGATTGGAGGAATTGACTTCTGAATTTCACAAATGTAGATAGCTCAAAGATCTAAATCTGAATGTCTTGTAAACTTAATTTTTCACATTAAATTAATCATTTTATTTTTCAACAGCTATAATTAAATAGGATCTAAAGGAGCCATCACTCTTGGCTAAAAGCTAGCACATTGTTATAATTTATAGACACTACAAATTCATATAGGGTATTTATTTACTTTTTTAATATTTAATTTAAATTAATAAAATTAGTTGCTTCTTTGGATGCAGCGTTAATGGAAATAATTAATTAATTTATATTTAAAAAGATCAAATCAAATAAATTCCGATGGATTCATTGGATTGGCTGAGGGTTTATGCGAAATAAAGCAGCTTAAAAAATTAGAATTAATAAATCCATACAGTTAAATTTGCTCTAAAGGGCACCATGGATTTGAGAGATAAATTAGAAAATGTGCTAATCTAGAATATTTAAGCATTCAAATTTAGTAAGATAATAAATACAATCAATAAATTAATTATTCAAATTTTTAATTCAAAAATAAAGAGAAAATTTAATTGGATAAAATGATAAAGTTGGAGAAAATTACAGTTAAAATTAAGAAATTACACAAAATAGTAAAATAAAAACGTATTCTGTGAATATTGAGTAAAATTAATTTTAGATATTTTATTTAACAACATATTTAATCAATCGACGTTCATAAATTAGAAAAAATAATCTCAATTCAGAGTGGATGACAATTTTTTCAAGATCTTTGTCTGAGCTGAAGTACTTGCAAGTTTTAAATCTAAATTTTAAGTAAATCGGCTTGATATTTTTACTTTTAGACATTCATTTTAATTAAAGATTTTTGTGATTATTTTAATCAGTTAAAAATGAAAGTTAAAATAATTATTTATAACAATCAAAAGGCTTTGTAATTTAGGAACAGAGGAGATTAAGATGCTTGGAAAAGCTTTTATTTGTTTAAGTGGTCTTAAAACCTTAAATCTTTAATTGCAGTATATTTTTTATATTTATTAAATTATTAAATCTGCTTATTATTAAAGAGAAAACACAATTTAACATGAAGGTGTTTCTCAATTTATGAATGAACTTGAATATTGCTTTAGCTTGGTTAATTTAGAAATTCAAATGGAGTAAGTTGAATTTTAAACTTAAATTAAATTTATTGTTTATATTTTCAAAAAGGTAATCCAAGTTGAATCTTGAATCATGCTAGTCAATCAGTAACAGTCTTTCTAAATTACCAGTTTTAAATACTGTTAAAATAAATTTTAAGTAAAGCTGATTAAATTTGAACAAATAAATAAAACAAATAATAAATAAATAAATAAAAATATAGGAATTGTGAAATATAACCAGACAGTATGGTTGCTTTGGTAGCTAAGCTTAAGTTTAATGACTCTTTACAGTTTATTTTCTTTGATTTATGGTATAAATTAACTTGAAAATTTGTTTTTACTAAATTATTTCTTGTAAAATAAAAAAGCTATAACAATATTACAAAAGCTGCTTTTTAAAAATCTAAATCATTAATTAATAAGATTTGCAAGTTAGTTCGTTTTTCTTACAAAGTTGAAATATGGTGAGAAAATTATTTTTTCTTTCTTTCTTCATAATTAGAATAAAATATTTAATAAAACAGTTAATTGTTGAACAAAAAGATATATTTATATATATATTCAATTTACTTAGTTATATTCTTCTTATAAATTCTAAAAATGTTTGTCAAAATTCTATATATTAATTACTTAAATAAATAAATATCAAGAAAAATAAATTAAACTCAAATTTTTATTTTTTTTGTAAAAATTAATGAATAAACATTTTGAAATATTAATTAAAAATAAAATAGAATTTTTAATAAATTGAGACATTCTTTAGAACCATTTATTTTGATTTGTTATAAATAAATAATTAATTTTTTTAAAATTTAGTAAAATAAATAGTTAAAAATTTAATAATTATAAAAGATTAAATTAAATCAAGCTTTCATAATTTATTGATTAAATTGAAAAAATAAGAAACAATTAACTATATTTAAATATCAAATTAATATAGAATTAAAATAAAATGGAATTGCTATAAGGGCTATGTGTATGAAGTTGATCTTTAATATCCTTAGCATCTTCATGACAAATACAATATAAAAAATTAATATAAATTAAAAAATAAATAAAGGTTTTTTAATAAATAAATTATTTATTTATTTCAATTATTTTTTACACTTAAATTATAAAAAAAATTATTGATAATTGCTTAAAAATTAAAATTAGTTTTTTATTTATCAGTTTTGTTTATTTTTGAGGAGTTGATTTAAAAAAAGCAAGGTTTTAATAAATTAAGACAAGATTAGTATGAAGATATATTTAAATTAATTAATATATGAATACTTATTTAATTATTGAAATTTATCATCATTGTGATTGTAAGATACGAAAATTTTTTAAGTGGAATTTGCCATTTCCAGAATTAATTTTTTTAATCTCTTATGCATACAATAAAGAAGGAAGAGTTCTCTTTTTATCATCTGCAAAGTCTATTTGAGGATAGTTTTAAACAAATCTACTTTTTGAAAATAAAGGAGAAACTTGCAGTTGGTCAAATACTTTATTTTATATTTTCACTCTGTTTAGATTGCTTTATTCTTTCCTAACTTTGTACGTCAGAGTCAAAGGCATGTTTTTTGATTCTTTTAAAGATGGGATTTTAAAATTCATATCTTAGTAAGCTTCATCTGACTAAGCTAAATTAAATACCGACTTATTCCCTGAAATATAAAAATTTTGTGAAGCTGACGTCCTCAGTATACTTTTATCTGATATTTACTTATTCAGGTTAGAGCTGTTGTTTTAGTTAAAAGTTAAACTTTATTATTGATTTTTGATAATTTTTTTAAAATAAATACCTTGATGTCAACTAATTATTGCCTTGCCCACTTCTATCAGTACTAATTTTTTTCTGAACTTTCTTCAGGTTTATAGAAGAAGATGGTTTTTATTAAGGATTTTAGTTAAAGATGAACTTTTTAAATTCTTAAACAGGCTACTCACTTTTAATCACTTTAAGAAATCCTTGAACTATGTTTGGAGGAATTTGATAATCTGGCTCTTGTTTTCTACCCTAGTAAATTCTAGTTAAATTATCTTTAATTTGCTTCTTAACTTCATCCTTTTAAAGACTTTTATTAGTTTTCTCATGTTCCTTGAAGAGCATATCAGTAAATATATCAAAAATCTACTTCTTTTAAATGCTTAAATAGTGGTTTTCTAACGTGGCGTTTTCACTTAATTTTTTTTCAGCTACCAATTCGAGCTTCTTCATATACCTTAAACCAAAAAAAATAAATAAGAAATTGTAAATAATATTAATTGTATACATTTCTGATGAAAGAGCTATTTTTGAACGTGGTTAGTGCTTCACTTTATAAGCATTCATAAAGTAAATATGTCCAAAGTCATCAATCATCCATTCAGTTCTCATCCTAGTAATTTTTGAGCTAAAAAATACCTCTATGTAATGAAACATTTTAAAGCACATATATTTGATATAAGTTTCCAGGTTTTATTTGACTAATCTCTCCTCAAATTCTTATTCTTACTCTTGACTAATGTAGTCTTGAGAGGCTTGTGATATCTCCCCATTAATAATTTAAATTTCATTCAATGCTCTGTTGAAAAGAGGATGCCACTAGTCCTCTTCGTACCTGAACTTCACCTTAATATACTCCATATTTCTTCTCTTTACTTTCATATAATTCTAGATAAATAATATCGAACTCCACACTGGATCAATCTACATTTTAAATAAAAATATATAAATTAATAGAGTATTTCTTTTGTAAAAGCAATATTATTAAAAGTATTTTTATATTACACAAAATAGTTTTAAATAAAAAAATATTTAATTTCTCAAAAATAATTTTTAAAAAAGAGTAAAGAAACAAAATAGCTTCTAATAAATTTTCAAATAATACACAAATTTCTCCTAAAATATTATTTATATGATCAAATGAAGAAAAAATAATGAATGATACCTTTCTTTTCATCATAAGATTCAAGAATTCTAATTCGTTTAGTACTTAGTTGAATTGCTAATAATTGACAATAGTATTAGCCTAAGTTTATTAGTTTAAATTTTATGATTATTAGGGTTAGTTCAATGTCAAGGTTCCTTTATGAGAAAATGGTTTATTTGCTTTATCGGGTAGTAAAGAAAGCTATTTTTTGATCTAATTGACTTGAAAATTACTTATTTGCATTTAATTTTAATTAGGTTGTTAATTGCTATTGAAATTTGCAGCATTTTAATTGTTTTAGACTTAGTTTTAAATGACATTCACATAGTTTCCTTCGTTGTTCCTCTTTTATTCTACTTCTATATCATATTTTATAATTACTGCTTCTCTATTGTCTTTTTCCTTAATCATTTCTTCTCTATTTTATTACTATTGAGCTGGATTTAATGCCATAGTGATATTTTAATGAGAATTATTGACACTTCCTTAGTTTTTATTTTTCTTTTTGATTAAATCCTGTGAGTTGTTGCCAGTTACATCAGCCTTGAAGTTGACATAGTTATTTTATTAAATTTACTATTATTGTTGTTGCCTTAACTCTAAATTATCAAGAAGATATCTATATTTATATCTCTTCTTGTTCATAAACTTTCTTAATTCTTACAAGTTTAGCTTTTCTTTCTGCTTTATGAACCTCATCATTTTATCTTTATGAGTGTAAATTAACAATTTGGCTTCCCCTTGCACAAATAAGATAGTTTCAGGGACATACAATCTAAGTGTTCTGTTTCCTTTTTTTATTGGTTATAATCTAGTTAAGATGAAAGAGTAGTCCTTCTCTTAAGGTTTTTCTTCTTTTTCATAAGGAAAATCTTGTCTATATTTCATTTTTTTCTCATCAACGATTCCAAAGTGGTCATTTATACTGGAATCTTCATAATGCAGATCTTCATTTAAACTTTCAGAAATCCTAGTGAAATTAATGATATATTGTAAAAAGCTATTTTTTCTTCAAAAATGTATTATAAATAAATACTTTCTATTTTAAGACTCACAAATGCTGCAGTCACACATATGCTCTTCTGGTAACTCTCTTTAATGATGTTTTATATTTTATTTAGCCTACTATTTATTATCCAAAGGTATAGCTCTTTTGCTTTTTATAGCAGGAATCTATTAAGTATTTGTATCTTAATTGCTACCGATCTACAAAGAAAGTATTTAATTATCAACTTTGACATCATCTTCATCATCCAAATCTATTTTAATGATAGGTTCCTCAAAATCCTCATCTTCGTTTATTGAATCTTGCTGAACATTAGCTATTTGATTCCTTTTAAAAAGCGAATCTTATCCTATATTAAAAATAAATTTATAACAATATTATATATATTCTAACATATGAATGAAAATTATACTCGTTGCATGCAATGAAGTCATCCCAAAAAGCCAAAAAATTTGAGCTGAAGGCAATTAAAGTATGAATTTTTATATAAAACTGATATTGAGATATTTACTGTCTTTATTATTCTTTTGAAATGTGAAGTAGTGTTAAAATAAATAAATCAATAAACAAATAAATGAATATATAATATTTTGATAAATATTCTTTGTATTATGCATAATAATATAATTAAACAAAACACAAAAACTCAAAAGTAAAGTAAGTTGTAGATTCATTCAATTATCTCTTTCATCACATTTTACAAATAATTAATTAACAATTTAAATATAAATTAAATTAATTAATTAATGATCTTTAAATAAATAATAAGCTTACAATCCAGTAAATTTTTATCAACATATCTTCTACTATATAGACCAACAATTAGCAAAATAAACTCATTTTTAAAGAATATTAAAGCTATAAATAACATTTTCTAACTTCCAACAATAAATTAATCTTATTAGAAACCTTTTTTGAATTACTTAAAAAATCAAAACAAAAGAATTTGTTTATTTATTTATTGCATTCAAGAAGTCATCCAAAAAAATAAAAAAACAGAGCTGAAGGCAACACTTGTATGAATTTCTATTTAAAAATGATATTAAATATTTACTCTCCTTTTTATTCTGTTGAAAAGGAGGAGAAATGTTAAATCTAATAAATAAATGAATTTTTTATATAATGATAAATACTCTTAAATATACATTATTAAAAAATTCAACAAAAATTTCTCAAGAAAAATAAGTTGTATATTCATTAAATTACATCTTTCATCAGTTTTACAAATAATTAATTAATTATTTTAAATATAAATTAAATTAATTAATGATATTTTAATAAATTGAATGAAATATTGAATTTCAAACTTATTAATTTCTGAATATTTATAAAATTATAGTACTTAATAATTCATATATGTTAATAAATGCTTTATTTTATGCTTATTTAAGTCAAAATATCTAGTTAGTAGAAATTAGTACAAAAAAATTATTCGATTAAATTAAATAAAAAATATATCTAATTTTAGTATTGGACTGAATAATTTAAAAAAGTGTAGATAGATAGATAGATATAACTAAAATAAATTTACATAATTTTAATACTATTTTAATATTTATTTTTATATGTTTTAACAATTATTAGACTGAATAATTTAAAAAAGTGTAGATAGATAGATATAACTAAAATAAATTTACATAATTTTAATACTATTTTAATATTTATTTTTATAGGTTTTAAACAATTATTTGGTTGTTTGATTGGTTAATTAATTAATTAATTATTTTATTTATTTACTTACTTACTAATTGAAATTTTATTTATTTCTCATATTAAATTATTCATTTAAGGTTCTTTCTTTTTAATTATTATTTATATTTTAGACTCGTAAAACTATTTTATTTATAAAAGACAAAATAGATACTTTTTTTTCTTTCATTTATTTGATTGAATATTCTTTGATTTAGAATTATTTCTAGCTAACTTCTCTTAGAGTTCGTTTGTATTTTGTAAAACCTAAACTAGAGGAAGATCATAATTTTTGTTTTCATTAATTGCTTTCATGTTTTAATGATTCTTAAATATGCTTTAATATCCATCTTCCTAATCGCTATATTCTCCATTTTCTTATTTATATAGCTCACTACTTTATTAATATTGCTCATTTTCATCTTCTTGATTGTATTGATCTTATCCATCATTATTAGTTTAATAATGATCGTAACCTTTATTTCCTTATTATTCATCATTATCTTCTTCATCATCATAATCTCTTTCTTTCAAGTGTTAATCTTATTCTAGCAAATTGTCTCTGCCTTCTTTCTATTGCAGAATCCTGTTCCTTTAATTGTAGTATTTTTTAAGAGCTTCATTTTTAACTTGAGATTTATTTATATCTTCAAAGTTAGAGTTTCTTAACTACTCTGAAAGCTTATCTTCACTATCTTATTATTAATCTGAATTTTCAGTGTTGCTATTTTTAGAAGATTTAAACTCACTTAGCCACTAATTTGCTTTGCTTCTAAGCTCATTTTTTTACTAGGCTTTAATTCTTTCTATTTTTTCTTCATTTATGCATTATTTCCATGATCTAAATGATCTTTCTTAAAGGACCACCTAGATAAATTTTATTTTTTAATAAGGATTTCTTAAATATTTAAAAGATTTACTTTTCTAAATTAAATAATGATTTATTTATATTATTCTTCAAATGCAACATTTTCATTTCTCAAAGTAGTAAGAACATCATTCCATTTATAGAAAACAGTTCTCTTTAAGTAATCAATTCTTTACTATCTATAAACCTCAGCTTCTTCCTTACTCTATTTGCTAAATCCTTGAATTAATTCAAATCCTTTCCTTTAAATTCACATTATAATTAATATTAATCGTGAGAACAACTACACAATGAATTTACTTTAAAACTACTTTTTGATAATGCTTTTTTGCTCTTTCCTCCTTAAATTCCATTTCTTACTTAAAAAGCTATTTGCTGAGCTTAGTGGCTTATTATAAATATTGCAAGCCATTTTTAAGAATTCTCATATAGCTGAATTAGTTTGCCACTACAATCAAATGCTCTTAAAATTCCATAAACTTTGACCAAGGCTTAAAGCCATAATATTTCTAAAAAAATAAAATAACAAATTAAATAAATAAAATGATAAAAAAACTTAAAAATTACTTAAATAGATTTTTAATGATGATTTTTCGCTAAAATAAGTTTTTCTGCAAGTTATTTCTTTTCCTATTCAGCTTTTTCCTTTTTCTCTTTCTCCTCTCTTTTCTTTTTTTGGTAATTTTCAAACTCTTCTTTTCTTTTTTCTCTTTCTCTTTCGATTTCCTCTAATTCTTTCCTTTTCTTTTCCTCTTCTTTCTACTTTCTCAGCTCTTCATGCCTAGAGTTTCCAATAAACATTTAAATTTAATTTATTATGAAATTTTTAAATACTTTTTTTTGAACTCTTCAGCTTTCTTTTTCCTATCCTCATTTCTCTGCTGAATTTATCTGAGTCTTTCTTCTCTCTCTTTTTCTTTGTTAGTTTATCCTGACATTTGAGACTCATTATGACCCTTAGAATTTTATCTCATATTCGGTGATTTTGATTATTAATTTTATCTAAATGTAATTTATTATTAATCTGACTGTGATGGCTAAGGAACTCTGCTCCTTGCAATATCTGTCATAATACTTTCATGTCCATCATAATTTTAGCTTTGAAGTTAATTTTCATCATCATCATCATGATATTCTTCATCATAATACTGCTGATTATCTTCCTAGTCATAATCGTTTTAATCATAATAAGAGTATTATTCTTGTTGTTTAGCTTCATCATCATTATCATAATTTTCTTCATAATCTTGATCATAATACTACTAATCCTTCTCATTTTAAGGAGACTAATACTATTATTGTTATTGCTAATATTCATACTATTTATTATTTTAGTGTCTATTATCGTATTTGCTAATTGGCAATCTATTACCATTAGTAGTTTAAGGAGATTTCTAAATTGGTGACCTATTACTATTTTGTAAGCTTTAATTTTTCTATGGTGTCCCTTTTATTTCCTTGCTGCTCGATTAAATTCTACTATTTTTGACTATATTTGGACTTTTATCATTATTTTTTATATTATCTCTTGTTGGTTTATAATCACTTTATGCAGAATTCTAAGAAACTATACTTGACCTTAAAGTATTTCGTTCTGGGCCTTGCCTAATATTTTATTATTTAGCATTCTAATTAGGTTTTCCTACCTTGTTAGTTTGATTTTTTTATTCACAAACTTATTAATTCATTTATTTTTATAATTCTTATTAAGAGTCTTCATATAATTATTCCTCAGCAAATTCATCCTATTCTTCTTCTTAAATATTTTGCTAATTCTAAGATGCATTCAACCTTAAAAATTATTCAATAACTCTCTATTTATGCTATTCTTTTTAATTTTAAACCTCAGTCTCAGATTGCTATATATTCTGCTTTAAATTTGATATAAAACCCTTAATTTTATATTTCAGATTATTCTTTTCTTCATTTAGTTTTTATTCTTATTTGCAAATTTTCCAGTATTTTTTCCAGTGCCTCAAACAAATTCTTATTAATCTTCTTTTATAATATTCTCCAGCCCTATTCTAGATAAAATATTAAATTATAATTAAGCAAATATCGCTGATAGATTTATTTTGCAAAAAATTTATTACCAAGAATGTGTTTTCATGAATTTTTTCTTATAAATAAAACTTGACATCCTTCTCGTCCTTTTACGAGTAAAGATACTTTTTCCAATTAGAAAAAACTACAAAGAGTTTCTTCAATCTCATAATGTTAATACACTTTTAAAATATAAGATTTATTACCTAAACTTACTAATATAATCAATTTATTTATTTATTTACTTGCTGCTCATGTCTGATATATTCTCTATTTTTTTGCTTGAGACTTTCAAAAACTTGGTTATAAAAAAGTCTTTTGTATCTTTTTAGAACAAAATTATAAGCTTTTACTAGCTTTTGCAACCTAAATTAATTGTATTTCATCCTACTTTCGTCAGCTTCTTTCTGCAAGTAATCGATTGTTTCATTTATATTTGACCCGCCATTCCTGTTGGAAATCATTGACGAATCATTATTTTAAAACAGCTCTTTTCTTAAGTTTTCCTTCATTTTTTTCATATCTTCCTCCATTTTCTTTGATTGAACTTCCAAATTTTAGCGTTTATTTTTAAGCACTTAAATTTCATTTTTTGGATTTCCTCCTTACTGGCTAGTCTAAGCCAAATCAGTTAGTGACATTTCATTCTGTAAATAGTTATTCAAAGAAACTCCTGATTGAGTTTAAAATGTTTATCTGCTATTTTAATAATTTAATTGTGATTGCTTTGTAGAAGGTCTACTTTATTGTGACTAATTTTCCCAATCGTTGCTAGCTTAACTCTTTTGAGTACTAGATTAAAGCGATGCATTTCCTCTATTTGATGACTTATTTTATGCATTAGCTGATGGTGGTCTAAACTTTTAAGCCTGAGCTTACAACCTACTCAACTCAGCTTTTGAGTATTAAAAAAAAATGAATAAAAATAAAGTCCAAAATATAATTTAATATACCCTCTTGTTTTTATTTGATTCTATCTTCTTTCATTTGTTTAATTTTAGCATGCCTTAATTCCATATTCAATAAAACATTATCCTTTTCTGGTTATTTAGGAACATCTCTCCTTTTATTTATAATACTATTACAAAATAATGTTAGCTTACAAAGCAAAAAAGAACATTTAATGTTTACTCTAAAGCCAATTCTATATCATCATCTAATTTCCTATTAAATAGCTGATCGGTTTTATTGTCTTTTTAATCTTTCCAATAAGATGGTTTTTTATTCAATGCTTTTGATTTGATTTCTTCAGCATCGTTTTCTGTTTAAATGAACGCCTTTATAATGTTTTTTGCCTCTAACCTAGACTCAAATTCGCTATCTTCATCGAGCTGATATCTCCTAAAATCTCTTTCTTCCTCTTCTTCAAAATAATTATTATAATTTTTTCTATTCATTTTAACTATTAAGGTCTTTAACAGTTCTATCAAAAAATTAAAAAATTGAAATATTGGATTATCTTTTAAAAAACCAATAAATCAATCAACCAATTAACAAATAAATAATAAATTAATTAAAAAAAGTATCTAAAAGTCCTACACGAATTATTTATTAATCATAAATTCAAAATTATTCTTTGTTTATAATACTAACATTTTGTTAGTCCTTAAATACTCCAAGAAAAGAAATTTAAATTAAATAAAAATAAATTAATTTTATATTTTCAAATATTTTATTTGTTTGTTATAAATCATATCAATAACAATTACGAATTAATTAAAAATAAATAATTAAAAATCCTACAAAAATAATTAATTGTAAACTTAAAATGACTCTTTGCTTAATATACTACTAACACTTAGTCAGTATTTAAAACACTGCAAAAATAAAATCAAGCTAATAAAAATAATTTACAATAAATATATATTATTCATTCATAAATAATAAAAATATATAATCAATATTAAGTATTAATTTTGATTTAATTAATATCATTAATAAATTAACATTTGTTATTGATTTATTTTTTGTTTTTTTTTAAAAAGATAACAATCTAAAAAAGAAATATACTAATTTTATTATATTTACAATAATATTAATTTATTTACTTATTTATTATTTTTATACAGAATTTATTTCAATATTAATTTTATTAATTTTTTTAAATATTTATTTAAAGTTTTTTCATAAACTATTTCATGATATTTCTAATTTTTTAGTGAAATTTTTAATGAATAAATCTTTTATTTATTTTTCAATAATAAATAAAAAGTTATTTTGCTTATATTATTAATCGATTTTTGCTTAATACATCTAAATGAGACAAATAAATTATCTTTAAAATTCTAAATTTTAATTTATTATAATTTACATTTGTAAATTTTATAAAACAAATAAAAAACAAACAAACTAAATAAATAAATAATTTTATCATTCATGATTATATAAATTCTAGGAATTCGGCATATCTTACTAGGCCGTTATGATCTAAGTCCATTAAATTAAAAAGCAACTTTACACTACTCTGTTTGAGCAAAATATTATAATTTCTAAAAGCTTATGCTAACTCTGCTAGATTAACTTAGCCGTCTTAATTTTCATCTAAAGCATTAAAGATTGAGAATTTCTCAAAATTAGGACTAGATCTCAATTACTGCATTTGTTTCTTTAATATTTTTTCTCTATCTAAAATTTTAGTCATAATAAATCTAATTTCTCTGCTTTCTTAGGCAGTAATTTCTTAGAGTTCAATAGGTTTATTCTTAAACAACTCTATATAATCATTATCACAGGGCTTAAATACCTCATTAAATTCATCTTTACTATATTTTTAAATTGCAAAAATTATTAATATTAGATAGATAAAAAAAGAAAGAGATCTTACCTTAAGAAACCGTCTTTGTCTGTTTCAATACGGCTGAAAATCATTCCGATTTCTTAATCGTTAAATTTAATATTTATAGAACTCAAAAGTTCACAGAATTTGGAGAATCTTAAATAGCTTTGACCTTCTGAATCGAATGCCTTGAACAAATTAATAGGAGAAAAAGACAAATTTCTTGCTAGTTGCTTTTTACTGTCTTCTATCTCTTCTTCTATTTCAGTAATTTGTTTTACAATATCTAAGAATTCAACAATGCTCGAAGTAGAGTTTCTTACAAAAGATGAATATTTTGTCTTCATAAACGAATCTGTCTGTCTCATATAACTGTCATTCATATGAATTGAAGACTATTGGAGTTATTACTATTACTTCATAGGTGAAATAGGAGTTTACAAACGAATATCTTAGGTTTAATATAACTGACCTGTTCTTTGCAAATTATCAACTTCTCTTGGAGAAAGATTGATTGTATCTTATTCGTTATTAGTCTTAAAGTTTGTAAATTAAATCTTTGAAGTTGAATAATCTTAATTAGGAATTCGTGTCATATTATTTAATGTTGTATTTAACTGTTATTGGAACAAATCGCTTTATTCTTTTTTGTAATAAATAGAAGGGTCTTTGAAAAGTGAAGGTTCGTATTTTTCATTTTTTGTTGGGCTCTTTCTGAAATTTGATAAACTACTACTAAATTAATTTCCATCAGCAGTACTAAAGTTGTAATTTTATTAAGGGCTGGTAGTAGAGCAATTAGGGCAACCATAAGAATTATTATTAAGAGCAATCTTCTAAGAATTATACTAATACTACTATTATTATTACTGATGTGAAGGACTATATAATCTACTTACTTACTGAGTGTAGGACATATTTTGATTGCGATTATTTTAAGGGGAATAATAGCTGGAAGAAATAGATGAACTGTAATTTGTTTTATCAAAATTCACTTTTTAAGGAGAGTTTCTTATGTAGCTGCTCGAATATGATTAGTTATTATTATAAATCTTAGATGGAGATTCTCTGAATTTCGAATCGTAAGTGGATCTCTGATACAAAGAATTTTAAGTATGTGCAAATGATTGAGTGTGATTAGGATTAATGGTATCCTCTCTCAAGGATTCGTATAATGTATATCTGCTCTAATCTTTTTAAGGGGAGCTACTTCTAGATCTGTTTGTGACTACTACAGAAGTCACCTTCTTATCACTCATATAATTCAAAAAATCTTTAAATTTTAATCTCTCACTAGACAAGCTAACGTGTTATATCAAAAACTAGAAGTCTTCTTACTAAAATGGCTTACTGCATTCATCCATAAACTTTTTTATTCTTAAAAATCATAAAATAAATGATTTACAATTTATTTATTCACTATTTTTATTTTTTTAAATTAATTTTTATTTATCAAATTTATTTTTAGAGATGACTTGCTATTTTTACTGCTCTTGATAAAATTATCATAAAATCGTTTTTTATTTTATTGAATATTGAATAAATAATTCAGTGAAGCAAGATATTAAAAAAAATTGTATTGTCTTTTTATTGATTTAAATTATCTTGCTTTTATCTAAGCTGAATCCAATTCAAATCCAATAAAATTTAATTTTCATGGTAAAAATTAACAGAAAATAAGATTTTAATTAATCTAGGTCATGTAAAATTAATTTAGACTGGTCTGGCTTGTTGATAGCTTAGAGAGAATAGAAAAAATTTGTAAATACCTTTCAAAAGTTATATTATTTTGATTTTCAGGATCAAGAAGAATCTATAGCTCATAATAATCTAAATTGCTGTCATTTGTTATATCTTTTTTTAGCTTTTTTATAATTGTGTGTGATTCTATGAGAAGATCAAAGAATTTGGCTAAAGATTATTTTATTTTTTCCCTTTAAGTATTTTAAACTTCCAAACTGCATTCAACAACTTGCTTTGGGTGAGACTAGACTAATTGACAAAACCTATTTCATTTATTATTTAAATTTTTTGTACTATTTTAATATCATTTAAGCCAAATATTACTCATTATATGATAGCAATGTTTCGTTTTGAGTCCTAAATTGTAAATAATCAGAAATTTCTTTCTCACTTTTATAAAAACTGCTTTGTTTTAAGAAATCAGAAAGCTCTTTGTTTGTAATGTATTTATTTTTGTTAACATCTACTAAGCAAAAGGCAAAATAAGGTGTGAATCCTACTAACTCAAGTAGATTTCTCCTATAAGAGCTAATCTTTAAAAAAATAAAATATTTATTAAAAAGGAGATAAACAGGAGATAATCGTGATTTAAGTTGCAATTAAAAAACTATTTTCTGCTTTATACCTATCTTTAACGATCTACAATTGATTTCAATAAGCTAGCTATTTAAAGCTAAAGTTTAAACGATTTCATTCTAGTTAAGTAAGTCTATATGATTCTAATCTTAATACCTTATTTGATTAAAGCTTTATATTATTTAATTAAACTATATTGATTGATTGATATTAAAATTATCAGTAAATAAAATGAGCAAATAAATCTAATTGTTTCAAATTTTATTTAACAATAAATAAATAAATTAGTTAATTAATAATTTGCGATGCAAAAGCCTTTAAAAAATAGTAAATAAGCAAATAGGTAAAATCTTTAAGAGTTATTAAATTAATTATTCGTTTGCTATTAACTGAACTTTAATAAAAATTTATTGAAATTCCCCATAAACGAAATACTTCTAATTAATTTCTAATAAATTTAAAATAATTCTACTTCATTTAATTTTATATAAGACATATTTATTCAAAATATTTTTTTTATTTAATAAAAAAACATTTAAATTTAAACTAATATTTTTTATAATTTTAAAGAAGAAAAAATAAAAAAATAATTCTAATATATTTTTCCAAATAATAAAAATTCTATTTTATTTTGATTGAATTATTTTGAAGATATAATAGAATTAAAAAAATAAATAAATACATAAAAATTTTAAATAGCTGAAATAAATTTATTTGCTTTAAGAATACTTTCTTGCATTTTGTTAAAATTAAAGAATTATATAATTTATATAAAAGCATCTTAATGAAAAATTCAGATTTTCCTCATAAAATATGAAATCGTTAAACAAAAATGAAAAACAAAAAGAAAGATTTTAAGTAAATTAAAATGAGTAAATTTAATTAAATAAATAAAAAAAATGAGCGTTTAGAATTTAGATGAAATAATTATTATATGATTTCAATGAAATTTATTCTTTTAATCTTCAGTATTTGAGTTTATTTATTTGTTTGGTTGTTTGTTTGTTTGTTTATATTTATTTTTCTAATTTTTTCATTTATTTAAATTTAATTTTTTTTCTGTTAAGATTATTTATTTTTTTGTTAATTTTTTTCTTATTTCTTAAGTTTGTTTGTTTAATTAATTTTTTTATTGTTTTCTAGTTTATGGTTGTTTATTTTTTTTATGTTTTTTATATTTTTTTTTTATTTTTAAAATGTTTTTATATTTTTAATTTTTAAGCTATTTTTCTATTTATTTTCATTCTTGGAGTTTTTAATTTGATTGTCTTGTCTTCGGTTTCTATTTTTTAGGAGTTAATATATCATTCATTTGGGAAAAAGAAATTGCAGAGAGATAATTTGAGGGAAAAAAGTTTTCTAAAAATATACAAGCTATCTTGAATCATAGTGACATACACTTATCTGCTAATCAATGTTTAGCTTAAACTGCCATCTCAGTGCTTTATGATTGACTAACAGATAAGATTGGAATTTCCGCGTAACGCCCAAAAAAAAAGATTTGATGGTTTTAAATAATAATACTATTTAGTATTTTTTTATCTCATTAAAGAGCTATTTACATTAAACTTAACGATCAAATAAAATTTCAGTCATCAGTTAGATATCAGGTAATGCTCCATTGATACAGCACCTTTAAAAAACTTAAGGTTAAAAACTTGGGATTCTAGCAATCAGCAAATAATTTAGGGTTTTAAAAACGGTTTATATTAGGTATCAGCATCTACAGATTAATCATTTCCTTTTATCCTTCCTCTAACTGAAATTTAATATTTAATCTTTTAATTAATTTTTTTTAAAAACTAAATCAAATTCATGTATTAATTAATACCTAAAAAAATATTGCAATAGATTATAATTTATAATTTATTTTAATTCAATTTTTATAATATAAACATGCAAAAATGAATAGAGATAGATAGTGATAAATAAATAAATTTATATTTAAATTTTGTTTTTCTGAACATAAATTAATTTATAATAGAATAATTTATTAACAAATAAAAATTTTTTATTTAAAATGGATTCATTTTTTGTTTCAATATATTTTTTTAATTTACCCAATATTTAATTTCAATTCATTTGATTGACATTTTTTTTGGGAAATTAATTTGTTTGTAATGGATTTATTTTATTTTCAATAGATATTTGTTATGGTTAAGATAATTGAAAATTGCTTTTAATTGTGATATATTTTTTATAGATAGGGAATTTAAATTATCAAAGTAAATTTGGAAGAGGGAAATATCCCCAAAATTTTGTTTGTTTGATTGTTTGTGATAAAAATAAAAACAAAGTTTATGTTTAATATTAATTTGATATAAGAAAGAAAAAAGTAGGTGTCAAATCCTATAAATTAAATAATTAAATAACTTTGATAAAAATTATAATTAAAAAAAATAAGAAAAACTTTTTTCTTGCCTATCGAATCTGAATACTAAGTTTTTTAAAATTTAAATCGCCTTCCACTAAGTTTTTTACTATTAAATTTCTTAGGGATGTAGAACGCACCATTTTACAGCTTTCAAGTGCATTTTCTCATCCTAATAATAAGAAAAATTCAGACAATTTCGATAGCGAAAAAAAAATAAATTACATTCACATAAATGCAAAAAAAAGTGAATGAGGTGTGTCAAAAAAATATAAATATAAAAAAATAAAATGCTCATTTGGTTTTCTTTCCAATTATTTTTTAAAATTATAAAAGTATTTTTTAAAAACAACAATAGCTTGCTCAATAGATGCAGAAATACATACTAAAGACTTATTGATTGACTTTTATAAATTCCCAGCGAAGATCAGCCTAACTATACAATTAAATATTTAAAAACAAACAAAAATAAATAAAAATTAAATAAAAATAAAAAAATAAATAAATAATAAAAATTAAATATAAAAATAAATAAAATTAAATAGATAAAAAAAATCAAATAAAAATAAATAAACAGATAAATAAAAACAATTATAAATAAAAAAACATGTACGTACGCACTTTCCAATAATTTTTTATAAACCTAATAATTTAAGATTCCTATCTATTGATTGTATGAATTTTTTTATAAAAAAACTAATTAATTTTTTAGCGATTTTTTTACTAAAGAAAATAATACTATTTAGTTTAAGAATTTATATCTGGGTTTTTTGTTATTTTAATTGTGTTGGCTCATAAATATGATTTACTAAATTTACTTTACATTTATAATTAAATATAATTAAATAATGAATAAAAACTATTTTTACAAACTTTTTTACATAGTAAAAAAGAATATTCTAATTAATTACCAAAATATTGAATTTTAATATTTATTTGTAAAAGTTTGAATATTTATTTACATCATGAATTTGAGTATAAAAAACTACCATTATTTTAGGGTCAATTTAATTTTACAATAAATTGGTATTTTATTTTATATTTATTTTTTTATAAATATTTGTTTAATAAAATAATTAAAAATCAAAGAGAATAGAGAAGAAATAATTTATTGGCTAGTTTAGTAAATAATTTATATTTATTTTTATATTTGATACATTTAAAAAGATAATTTGAAGGATTTTACAATTTAAATTAGATTTAAAAGAGTAAATTATATTATTATCTCATCAATAGGTTAATAATTATTTATTTATTTAGTTTATTTTTATTTAGTTTAAATAAAAAAAACTTATAGTATTTTATATAAGATTGTTTTTAATTATTTAATTAATTTACATAATTTTAATATTTATTTTTTTTTTGTTGGTTTCGTAAGAAAAGTAAATAAAGTTATTGGCTTACTTTATGAAAGTTTTTTTGTAGGTTTTAATTATTGATTTTTTAATTAAAAAAACCTAACAGTTAGTTATCTAAGAGAAAACCTATTTTTAGATTAACTTGCAATAATTGCAAATTGAGAGCCAGATAGTAACAGAGAAACATTTGAAGATTATTCAAATTTTTGCAATTTGTTTGTATTTTTAGTTTTTTGATTGGTTAATTAATTATAAAAAGGGGTCTATTTCTACTCTGCTCTATCTTTTAGGCTGTACATGAAAATAAATTAGCTAATTTTTGCTAGAGTTAAGCAAAACCCCTTTGATACAAAAAAATAATTATAAACTAATACACTCTTTCAAAGAGTCAGAATATTTCTCCTCTTGTTCCTAAGAGTTTTTAAACGTTTAATTTAGCCCTTTTGCTAGCTTTTAAGTCTTTTCTGTAAATTAAAATAATATTAGTATTCTTCTTTTTCTGTCTCTAAAGTCTGATAAACTTAATTCATATCATAATTTGCTTCAACAATTATGTTCGCAGCTTGTTCTTAAGTAATGTAATAGCCGAATGTTTAATGTAAATACTGCATTAATTTATCAAATTCCTCTACATCAACTTTTGAATGATCGTATTATAATTTGTATAGCCTGGGACAATATCCAGGTATAATATCAGGAATTACTGCTTGGTATTCATTTCCTACGTAATTTTCTATTTCTGGATTTTGTAAGTAGTACTTTCTTTCTTATTGGTTTGTTGCTGCACTTTATTCTTTCAATTATTAATTCAAAGAATTAGCAAAATCTTTTTTGTCTTCTTTAGCTCCCATATTACCCTAAATGCTGAATCTATGCGATTACTTTTAGGTTTTATGGATATTCAAAAAGTAGTTCTAGTTTTAATCGGGCTCATTTAGGCTGCGCTTTTATTTCTCAACAATTGGCTACTTTAATGGGTCTTTTTTGATACTCTTTTTAAGAATAAGATTCGACTAATGTATGAAGTCTCTACTTAAATTCTTATTGCCTTACTTTGCTTATTCCAAACAGTGAAGTTTTTGATCATGCTCAATCTAAATTTGATTCTCATTGTCGCTTTCATAAGAACTTGGTTCGTTATAATTGCTGTAATATTAATTTTCACGAGATTTATTTAAACCAATTTGTTTCTCTATATTCATTTATCTTTATTGTGACACGTTGCTTATTTGTCTAACTGGACTTGTAATTTAACCTTCAACAAAGTCTCTTTACTTTTTTTCTCCTATGCATTTAGAATTATTTGTTGTAGATAGCAATAATGTTTATAGGTATTCAAGGGTATGGTTTTAATTAACCTTTTATTTTTTCTTATCTTAATCGCCGTTTTATGTATCTATTACAATATTTTAACTATTTATACTTACTTACGAGGTACTTTTGAGATTAGATAGCGAATCCTCTAACTCTTCTAATTATCCACACTAATCAAGCACCTTTGAATGAAAATTTATATTCTACTTTTGCTATTAAGGCTTTTACATTTTGCAAGTTGATGAAGTACTGCTAGAATATTAACCACTTATCTATTCATAATTCTCACTTGAAGTTTCACTATCATATTTATTTTAGTGCACATAAAAGCAATTTGCCTATTTAAATGTCCTTCTTGTTGTTGTAAAACGTGTAACAGAGTTATCAGAGTCCGCCTTACTACTTGCATTAAAGGGCTAAGTAAATTTACTATTGTTATTGTTAAATCTCAGTGAATATGATGAAGATTCCTTCTATAACCCAGATAATGACGAAATCCCCAAATCAGTTTGAACTTCAACTGTGTTTTAAGAAGGTGAAGTTAGAGTGTGCTTCTGTTAAGGTAAAGGTTCAGGATTTTTACTTGAATGGTTCTGATTATTTCTTCTTCTGCGAATAGAAGGAGGCTATGTTAGTTACTTTAATTCTTTCAAGCAGCGATAAATTTTCTATGTAGTTTTAGAAGCTGCTTGCTCTTGTTGGTCATTGTGATACATGCTTCCAGATCAGTATCACTTTCTTTTATTTGTGTGAGCTTCTATTAAGAAATAAAATCGTCAAATAGTTAATTTAATCAGTTGATTATCAATTATAATGTTTTTATGCAGCGGGAAAAAGACAGAGAGTATTTCTTTAAGTTAATAAATATAATAAATTAATTCTTTTTACTCTGCAATTGTTAATAATTTCCTGCTAATTCTTTATAAACTCTAATTTTCCTGACATAAGCTTGAAGGTAATTTTATATTCTTGCTTCTGCGTTTTAAATATTTTTTTACCAACCACTCTACTCTATTTGCTGTCAGAAAATTGCTAACATTGTCCAAGCTTTCCTGAGGAACTTTTTACTTAAATTAATTGAATAGTTTTAGGCCTGCTATTGTATTAAAAACCATACAAAATCATTCAATCTTCTTAAATTGATTTATTAAACCTCAATACTGAAATCTTATCATGTTTTTTATAATAATTAATAAATTAAAATTATTTTATAATAAATATAATTTAAACAAAATTATATCAAAATTTTATTTTGAATATATCTAAATATTTTATTTCTTTATTTATTATTTGATATACTAGTAATTGAAATTTAAAAATATATATATCCGTTTCTTGAAATTAATTCTAAATAAGCTAATCAAAAAATTAAATACATTTTAAAAAATTAAAAACATTTTTATGTTTCATAAAATAGAAATTTTTTAAAAATACTCTAAATTGAATAATTCTTTTATATAAAATTATTTATTTTCAAAAATGAAATTTTTAATATATTTTAATTTATTTTATAAAGTACTCATAAATAATATCAACAAATACTTGATGCTTTGTTATTTATTTATTTAATCTGTTTTTGATTTTTAAAATTTGAAAATAAATGGCACAAATATAATAAATTTTTTAACTGAATATGAGAGAGTGTGATTTGAAGAAATCATAAGAAGTAAATTACGAAATATGCATTAGCTTAAAATCTTATAAATGAAAAAGACTAATAAAATGTTTATTAAATTTTTAAAGAGTTTGTTCAAAATTAAGTTTTTCAGAGTTATTCGTTGACAATGACGGAGGCAGCACCCATACCAGTACCAATGCACATAGAGGTGACACCAATCTTAGCCTTTTATCTCTTTAATTCAGGGATTAAGGTGGCAATTTAACGAGCACCAGTGCAACCCAAGGGGTGACCTAAGGCAATAGCACCACCCTTAGGATTGACCTTCTTAGCATCAATACCTAACTTAGTGATGGAGTAGTAAGCTTGAGAAGCGAAGGCTTCGTTAATTTCATAGACATCAACATCGTTGACGGTGATGTTAGCCTTCTTTAAAGCTTCAGGGATAGCGAAAGCGGGACCAATACCTTTTATTATTAAATTATATTAGTAAATATTTATATTAAGTAATTAGTTATATTTATATTCTCTTAGAGTGTTTAGAATTGTAATTTGTATAGATGTTGATAGTTTTTTGATGAATTATTTTTATTTATCGGAGTAAAATTTTGCATTGAGAATTGATTGAGATATTTGGTTAGTTAACTTTTATTATTAAATGGAATTTCTAAAATCTTTCTTTTATTAAAATTTAATGTTCTTTTGTTCTGATTATTTAAATATTGCGTGTTATAATAATTTGATAATTATCTGATATCGAAATATCTTTAATTTATTTGATTATTTTCATGATTAAACAAATTTATTAAAATTTGAGTAACAATAAAATTTTCAATATTCAATCATGTCTGTATATGTTTTAAACTGTTTGCATTCAATTTTTTCCCTTAAACAACTCTATTTTTAATGGGGCTTTATATATTAATGCTAAATTTTATTGCTCATTCAAAGTTGGTGGCAGTGGGTTGAAGCTTTATTGCATTTTAAATTCTAAATTTATTTCTAAATTTCATTTTTTATTTTCACTCTGATGAAAAATTGTTTGTTAAAATTTTTAAATTTTAAGAAGTGAAGCTTACCCATAACCTCAGGGGGGACACCAGCAACAGCGTATGAGGCGAACTTGGCAAGGATGGGCATGCCGAGCTTTTCAGCAACAGATCTTCTGGCTAATAAGACACCAGCAGCACCTTCAGTGACCTATTTTGTATAAGTAGATAAAATTTAAAATATTGTTTCGGAAAGGAGATATTTAAAATGAGAAAAATTCATTTTTCATATTAAAAGCTCTAAAAATATCAAAGGAAGTTAAACTAATGTAATGATGAATTACCTAAGAGGCGTTACCAGCAGTGGTAGAACCACCAGTTGGCTTGAAGGCAGGCTTGAGCTTGGAAAGACCTTCGAAGGTGGTTTCCTTTCTGATACCATCGTCCTTGGTGACGGTGACTTCCTTTTCGTTACCTTCCTTATCCTTGACAATAGTGTGGACGGGGACGATTTCTTCGTTGAAGAGACCTTATTCTTGGGCGAGGGCAGCCTTTCTGTGGGATTCAACTGCGAATCTGTCTTGGATTTCTCTGGAAATGTTGTATGCTTCAGCAACGTTTTCAGAAGTGACACCCATGGGAATAATGCAGTTTCTGGCCTTATCGTGTTCGAAGACGGCGTCTGAGAGCTTTTCAGGGTCAACAGACTTGTTCATGTCATACATGGACATATTTTCAACACCAGCACCAATACCGATGTCAATGACACCCATCTTGATCTTGGAAGCAATAGTAGCACAAGCTTCAAGACCAGAAGAGCACAATCTGTTGATGGAGACGACGCAGGTGGTATCAGGGAAACCAGCTAAGTAAGCAGACATTCTTCCTTGGAAGAGACCAGCACCGATTTGTAAGACGTTACCAACGGTGATATCTTGGACATCCTTGTGTTCAATCTTACCTCTCTTGATTAATTCAGTGAAGACGGGCTTGAGCATAAGTTCGGGAGCAGTGTCCTTCATTAAACCTCTGTTGGCCTTGGTTAAGGGGGTTCTGACGGCGGCGCAGATAACGACATCATCAGGGGACTTAGTGGTGAGGGAGACTTCGTTAGCCTTAACTTAAGAGCAAATATTGCTGATTCTATCCATTTTAAATGTTTGTTTGCTTTTATTAAATTTAAGTAGGTGTTTATGCTATTTTATTTTTTAATTTTTTATTATGAAAATTTTGGAATGAAGAAAACAACCTTTAAGAAAGAGTAGTGTTTTATCTGGAATATGTAGACGTAAAGAATATTTTGATTAGATAATTGTGAAAGAACCAGCTGATGCAATATGCGAAACTACTTGTTATTACGATTAAATTGATAATATTGACGCATTTAGCGTAATATATCTCTTCATCGAAGAATTCAATTTGTCATTCTAAAATTGTCAAATCGAATAATATTATTTATTTATTTCTAAATTGAATGTTTACAAGCAACTATCCTAAATTGATTGATCTATTGATCAGCCACATTAATTTTCAATTACTTTTCCAAGTAATTTCCATCTTTGTTTTAAATTGGTTTACACCTTGAAAGTATCTTTTCTGTTGAAAGAAAATTTCTATTCTTTCTCTTTTAAGAAAGAAACCAATTCAAAAATTCAATCAATCAATCAATCATTCACTAACGAACTCTATTCTAATTGAATTTAAAAACAAATTCATTCATTAATTAATTAACTTTTATTATTTTTGTGATGGAAGGGCATTCATTACAAAAAGATATTCTATTAATCTCCCCCCTTTTACATTATTGCATTACTTGAAACTTTAAAAGAAATTAAATTTTTTAAAACAATTACAATATATTAAAATTAAACCCTTTTTTAAATTACTGCAAAAGAAATGCTTACTTTTAAAAAAAATATTATAAGAATTTCGTTGAGTAGACATAAATTTAAACTATAGATTTTGAAATTTAAGATATGTCTTGGTTTTTCAAGACTATGCTTAACCAGCAAAGCAAAAAATTTAGCTTTAATTGCTTTCTGTTTAGGTCGTTTAAAGTTTGCTTTTACTCATTCTAAGAGTTTAATTCTTTGATTAAATAATTAAAAAGTGAAATAATTTGATTAATTCACCAAAATTAGATACAATTACTCTAGATTATTCTTAAAAACTCATCAATTTGTAATATTTGTATATTTGTTAGATATTATTCAGTGCATTTATAAAATCAAAGAAAATGTGTCGTTTTTTAAGTTGTAAAAGAATATGCTTATTATACTTATGCAAACACCTTATAAAAATACCAAAAATTTGTTCAACAACATCAATTATGTATGTAATAATATATCATTTGGAATTAGAAAGTTTTTAAATTGTGGAAAATGTTCATCGAATATGAAAATTAAGTATGAAAAAATGGAAACACAAAACGATTTGAATGAGAGTTGCAAATAAAAAAATAGTTATTGAGAGATGATATCAGGAACGATTAAAAATATATAGATATTATGGATTATGAACAGAAAGAAATTTATTGATTTATATTCATATGCAAACAATTATCTAATCTGGTCAGCAAAGTACGTGATTTTTTAATTATTTGTTTATTACAATTATTCTAAAATCTTACTTATTTTTATATTTTCTTTATGTAACATCAATTTATCTATTCAATTTACTATGTATTTTTATTTTTACTATTTTTATGATTTCTTGTTTGTTTATGGCGTCATAAACCTTTAACTACTAAATTAATTTTCATTCATTTCTTCATTTTACGAATAAACTTATTCATTGAAGGATTTCTTTTATTTTTTTGATAACTTTATGAGTCTTATATATACTGAGGCAATGTCTCCTTGCTCTTATTTTGCTTTTTTATTCTTTTTTGTTTTAGCTTATCTTTTTTCTCAATCCAGTCATATATAGATTCAAGAGTGTTTTCAGGTCTGTTGCTGTTGTTGCCACCATTCTTCGAGGCTGATTATTAATTTTAACTAGCCATATTTTCTTATTTACCATCATTCTGTTACCCATTTTCTTCCTCTTCTTCTTAAATGGCCTGTTCTAAGGCCTTGTTCATTGTGCTGATTTCTATGTTGTAAGAAATATTTGAGAAACCTACCAACTCTTTAGTCTGCTTGTTATAGAGGAGACTTGTACCGATTTAGTTTCCGCTGCTTGCAGCCATTTACAATCCATCGCTTGTTATAAAGATTTCTTATTCTGGATCAAAATATAAGCTTTTTTCGTAGTTATCACGGAAAAACTATTCAAATTTAATATATTTTTTATACTTTTAATATTTTTTTCCTTATTCAACAAGGAAATATTGATTTTGCAATTAACGAGCAACAGTGGCTGATTAAACTAAATTAGTTACTCTAGTTTATTTTTCCTACTCGCTCTGAGATTCTTCAGCTTTTAAATATATAAAATTGCTTTCCTAAATATCATAATTTTTGTTAAATTTAGTTATACCGCTTTACATTTGTTTAGATTGCTTTTACGATGAATCTTAATTATCAAGTGAAATCACTTCACTATGCTTACGCAATTAAGTTATTTCATAAAATGGTACTTCTTCCCATTCAGATGGGTCAAATGCAATTTTATCCTCAAGAGTTTTCTACTCAGTCATCAATTTATTATAAATGGCTTGGTATAACAGAAAATTATCTTTTCAAAACAATCTATCTAACAAATTTAAATAGACAATAAATAGTAAAATATATACAAATAATTAGATCAATGCATAGACAAATCAAAGAATACAACTAAAATCCAATCTAATTACATATAACTTCAATCATTAAAATATCTTTTATTCTTTAAACAATTATTAAAGTTTTTTATAGAAGTTAAAATAAAATTAAATTATTATTAGTATCATCCTAGTTAATATAAATATATTAAAAATAATACTTGCTGCATGGAATAAAATCATGCATGCTTAGTTTTGTTAATTTTAATTTATTTTCATTCATAAAAGCTTTATACAAGTATTTTTATTTTAAGGATAAAATAATTTCTAAATCTTGAAATTTTAAATTGAGCTTGGATTGGTTTGGTTTATTAGCTTCAGCTTAGGCTCAAGTAAAAATCTTATATTTTATCACTACCAGTAATCCAAAAAAATATTTCTTTTTAAATAATTGTTTTATTTTCTTTCAAATATTGAATAGAATTAATATATTTAATAAGAGAATATTAATATTATTTTACTATTAAATAACATTCAAATAAAAAATTATTAATTGTAAAAATAAAAATTGATCTTATTAATAAAATATTTATTTCTATTATTAGACAAATATGTTTAAGAAATATGGAAAAGTCAAACATTTAATTTCTTAATATGCTAATAAAATGGTAAAAACTACATTGATTTATTTTATCAATAAAATTAAAGTTAATTAAATTTCTTATAAATTACTACTGTTTATTGCACTGAATTTGTCATGTTTTTTACATTTCACAATTATACCGTTTTAATTAAAAATAGTATTTATAAATTTGAAACTTTTATTATAAACAATAAATGAAGAGACTACTAAATTCAAATCATTTTTAGATAATTTTAGGAAAGAATAAATAAAAAATATTTACGTTGTAATTTGAAACTTTAAAAATATTAAGTATTAATACATATTTATATACAAATATATGCTTTAAATATATACTACTCAATCTTAAATAGATGTAAAATATAATATATTATCTCCTTCTTTTAAGAGCTTTTTAGGAAAATTGATGTATTATTTATAAAGATATATTTAATGGTCAAACTTTGAATTTATTTGTTAATCTCGTGATTATTATTTACTTAACATGAGTTAAAATATAAATATTTTGTTTCTTAAGTTTTGAAAAATCTATATTTTATTGAAATACATACAAAATAGAAAATATTTGTGGTAAATTTGAGAAAGTAAGCAAGGATAAATAAGAATCGTAATATTCTAAAATTAAATGGATTATTATGAATAAACATAATATATATACATAATACAACAATAAAATAAAAGCAAACCTCATTATAGTATGCTAGTTTTTTTGGGAAAATAGGATTTAAGTAGGGATAAATCCAGCTAGAGATTATTTAATTTTGTAGAAATTTGATAGACCAATTTACTTATTTATTTTAAAAAGTTCCCTATTTTTAATTAAATTTCTACAAAATTAGATAATTAGCATTTTATATGTTCGGTTTTGTTACTCTTACTTTTATTTTTGGTTCTAACTAATCTATGATTTTATCAAAGATAGTATAATTCGCTTTAAAACTAATTTCTTATTTACTTGTTAAGTAGTCATAGTATTTATTTTGAGTGGTATTAACAATCTCAATTTTAATTATTAATTAAAAATACTTATTTTGAACAACTTAAGGACTAAATTTAATAGTTATTATTATACCCACAAAAATTGTTATTTATTTTATTAATCTTTTTGTGGATTTAATAAATTTTAGAATGAATGAGAAAGCAATCAAATATTTATTTTGAAGGTGTAAGGCAAATTACTAGTTTTCTGAGGAATCCAAATTTCAATGCGTTGCTCAATAGATTTATTGTTTTATATTTTTGAAATCTATTTAATATTTTCATATCTTGCGTATATGTGAATTTAAAAATATTGAGAATTTATACATAGGAAATTTACATTGAGTTAAGCTAATTTTCAGGCTAATTTTTAAAGATGATAGGTGATGGAAATTTGTAAAAAAAGGCTGAAAATATAATTTCACTTGTGGATTTTTAAGATAATATAATGTATTTAAGTTGAATATTAAAAGTTGAACAGTAAGTAACAATCAATGAAAAATAGCTTATTCTAAGTAGTACTAAAAATTAATAAAAAAATTTAATGGCAACAATATTTTTTTTTATGATTGCAATTATAAAGAGAATAAACGAAAAACTATTAAATGTATCTAAAGTTAGTTTTATAATTGTAATAACATATCGTCTTTGATATTACATTTTTTAGTATTGGTGATTTGCAATTAAAAAATAACTAAATTCAACATATTTTTGCTATGCTTTAAACTTAAATGAGCTAGGTGAAAGGTAAATCATAGATTAAAAGTGATATCAAAAGAATAAATTAAAGGAAATAAAAAGCTATGAATGATCAAATTAAATTTGTGGGAAAATATTGCGTGAGCGAAGAATTTCAATTAAAAATATATTTATTTCGTTTGTTGTAAAAGCATAGATAGTTCTTTCTTGATTCGCCAAAAGCTACTACTGCATTAAAATATTGTGTGGAAGATAAATAATTATCAGAAAATAAATAAAGAAAAAAAATTATAATATAATAATTAAAAAAGCAACTAAATATAACAAAACTATTTTCTCAAGCGCAAGAAAATATAAAGAGATAAAAACAAATAAACAACATTTATTTTTCAAACTCTCATCTCACAGGAAGTATTTTAGAACAAGCAGAAAGACAATATAAAAATTTAGTAAGTTTTTATCTTGTTAATTTATAAAGCTTAATCAAATAAGTGATTGTATTGTCCAGATTTCATTTTCATTTTGATGTTGAATTACAAATTTTTTTCTGCATCCATGCATGCTGATTATATCAATTTCTTTAAAAATATGAAAAAGGATAATTGAATTATGAAGAAATCAGAACTAGAAGATTTAATTGAAAAGTTTGATACCTTGAGTTTCACCAAAGAAAAGTCAATTCTCAAATTGATTGATCCCGATGAAAAAATCTTACTTACTTGCATGATTTAGAAATACAATCGTAAAAATAAAAGACAAGAAAGAAACTTGATGATCACATCAAAGGGTGTGTATGGCATGTCAAAAAAAACTTTGAAGAGAAAGATCCCTGTTTAAAAAGTAGGTGGTCTCACAGTTTCTAAGATGGGTAGTGAATTCGTCTTACATGTACCTGATGAGTATGATTATCGTTATTCATCTTATGATAGAAGAGATTAAATTCTTGAGTTGATTTGCAAGGCATACTAAGAATTTACAGGATAAAAGTTACCATTCTTCTTCCTAGAAGATATCAACTTAGAAAAGTATTGTACTACCAAAGGTGATAAAAAGAAAAATATAAACCGTATGCCTCAAGAAGGAGGAGTATTGCTCGATCATGAACAATTCAACAAGCTTATGAATGAAAAATCTAGCTCAATCAACAATGAAACCGTTTAGATTTTCCCATAATAGAGCAAAAAAGGAGTTACTATAAACGATTTTAACCTTCTTAAAGTTTTAGGTAGAGGAGCCTTTGGTAAAGTCATGCTAGTCGAAGAAAAGTCAACCAAGAAGATTTATGCCCTTAAAAGTATAAGAAAGGTAAAATTAAAATAATTAATATAGTTGCAGTATCTACTTTCTAATTTATTCACATAAATATATGCATATAAATTATATCTTCTTTAAGAATTCCTAATTTGATTTAGTTAGTTAAGCTTAACAAAAGAATAGAAATTTATTTGCAATAATTATTAAAAGGATTTAGCTTTTCATCATAAATAGAAAAATAATAAAATCATAGGCTAACATATAAAATAATTTTTTATTAGATCATACATAAAATGCAATTTTAGATTAAATAAATAAGCAAAAAATAAACGTTTATCAAAAATCAAAAAATCTTCAAAAATAATAAGCATACTCTATTCTCAAAGAATTAAAGTTGAGAATTTAGAAACCAAAATTGCTTTTATCAGTAATTTGTTTTTAAACATAATTTATAATTTTTGAAAGTGATTTTGTCAATTTAAAAGATATTAATAACTATCACTTCAAACAAACAATCAATCATTCTTAACATTCCCAAAAGCAATTTTATTATCAGAAAAATAAGAAAAGCAAAAGATAGGTTGATCAGAAAAGCAATCTTTACGTTTATTTATTATTTTATTAAGTTAGCTAGTTTTTTAGTTGGATCATTAAATAAACAAAACTAAGTATAAATAAAATAGGAATTAGTAAATTAAATTTTAGTAGAAATATAACAAAAGTACCAAATAACATCACTCAAAAGCTTTCAAAAATGTTAATTAATTTTTATTCGTTAAAATAGGAAGACATTATTGATAAAGATCAAATAGAACATACTAAAACAGAAAGAGTCATATTAGAACATTGCAATCATCCATTTTTGGTTAATTTAGTTTATGCGTTCACAACTCCTGAAAAAATCTTCTTCGTCACTCAATTCATGAAGGGTGGTGAACTCTTTTAACATTTAAAACATGCTAAAAGATTCGATGAAAACAGAGCTAGGTTCTATGTTGCAGAAATAGCTTTGGCACTAGGCCATCTCCACAAGAAAAGCATCATTTACAGAGATTTAAAACCAGAAAATATTTTGATGGATGAGCATGGTCATATTTGTTTGACTGATTTTGGTATGGCTAAGATAGTCCGTAAAAATGAATTAGCTATGAGCTTCTGCGGAACTCCTGAGTATCTATCTCCTGAAATTATCTCTGGGGTTGGACACACTATTTCATGTGATTGGTGGGCTTTGGGTATATTTACTTATGAAATGCTTTTTGCTCTTCCTCCTTTCTACACTCAAAACTAAGATCAAATGTTCAAAGCTATTAAAGAATCTCAAATTCGCTTCCCTGATAAGATAGCAATTTCACCTGAAGCACAAAACTTTATCTTATCCTGCTGCAAAAAGGATCCCCATTAACGTTTGGGCACTCATGGAGATCTCGAAGAAATTAAAAGTCACCCTTGGTTGGCTGGAATGGATTGGGAAGCATTACTTAATAAGACTGCAGAACCTCCTTTCAAGCCTAAGATGGAACACTGGGAACATTATTTCGATGAGGAGTTCACAAAAGAAGAACCCATCAACTCTTATGTACCTGAGACTAATAAAGAAATCGTTGATGAATATCAAACAGAATTTGACGGATTTTCTTACAATCCCAATGCATTAAATTAACATTCAACATAAAATGAACATAATTAGAATAATTATTGATTGATTGACTGATAGATGATTAAACATACATTCTAACTTATTTAAATTTATAAACAAAATGAATGAATTCGAAAAATAAAACTAACTAGCCCAGAAATTAAATATCAATTTAAAATATCATTTTTGAATTTTATCCCTTAAAACTATTATATCTTTTAATTGTCTAATTGACACATGATTATCGTTACTCAAATTACTTTAAATGTATTAAATCTACCTATATATTTTATTGATTTACTATTCCTACCTTATTCATAAAACAAAAATCTCTTGCTTATAACAAAAAAAAAATGTTCTTCCATATTTTTTGTAATAAATTATTATTCAAGCTAAATGCAAATTTAAAGAATATTTTAAGCAAATTATTTAAAATTAATTAAAAATTTGAGAACTATAATTCCAATGAATGATTAATCAAAAGATACATTTTATGGTATTTTATTTTATCAATTATTTTATTAATTTATGTTATTGGTTTGAGTCAATAGGTTAAAATAATATTTTATTAACTCTAAAAAATAAATATATTTATTGTAAATAAAAATCTCAAATCTAAATATTTACATAAAATTTAAATAAATTAAAAGCCATTTTTAACTTTTTTTAAGATTAGCAAATTTTTATATAAGTAAAAACGAAAAATAAAAGATTTTTTTGTTTAGTAAAAAGAAATCTCAAGAATTTATTGGTACACCTATAGTATAATCTTAGGTTTATAGTGGTACTTATAGGGGATTTTAAGTATTTGTGGCAGGTATAGTATGGATTTAATAATTGCTATAAGAATATGAAATTTATTAATTCTCTAATTAGTTTGAAAAAACTTGATTCTAATTAGATTAGTTAAGAAGGTTGTTTTTAATTTCCAAATCATATTTTTAGGTAGCTTAAATATGCTTAGCTTTTAATAAAAGAAGTAAAACAGAAGTGCTGAATATCCAAATAACTGCTATAGAAAAGCTAACAATTTATACAACAAACATATTGTTCCAGTTATCTATTTAGAGAGTATCAAATTAATAACAGCTATCCTTTGCTTAATATGTCCTGCATCCATTTATTATAACTTTTAAAGAATTATACTTAAGCTAATTTAACAAGCTACCATTAGATTCCATTTCATCGCAACTAGGGTAATAATTTTCTAGATTAAATATAATTAATGATGTAGGATATCTGCCTTAATACCTAAATAAATAACCTGTTTAAAAGAATAATTATTTTAATTGAATTACAAAAAAAAAAAATACCACAATATTTATGAAAAGAGCCATAAATAAAGCTAATAAGCTATACAATAGGAGCTATATGAGTGGGCAATAAAATAAGATATAACGAAAAAAATATAATATTAGTTAATGATTTTTTTGTTAAAAGATAAAAACTTAAAATCTTAAAAAAAAATGAAGCGCTAACTAGTATTATTATCATTAGTTGTAAATCATTGTTAAAATTGTATTGATTTTTCAGAATTGAAGATGAGACTAAAGCCATAATCGCATAAATGATAAATAAAATGAAAATAGCATATAAGTATTTAAATAAAGTTTTTGCACTCTCCTTATATAGCTAATGTATTTTTCTTTCCTTTCCGTCTTCAGAGTTGATAATCATTTGGATTTATTTTTTAATTCTAGTTAATATTTGTTTATTTAAGATTATTTTATTTTATCAATTTTTTTAATTAGGAATTTCTTAATCTAAAAGATTTGATATTTGAGAATTTATAAAAATTAATGGATTTATTATTAGATCAAATTTACTCCTTTATTTTAAAACTTTTTTTTATCATAATTTTTATGTAAAATTTGATCAGAAATTCAGAATTTTTTATTGAGTAAATTATTAATATTAATTATTATAATATTCGAATATTTATTTTTAAATTAAAATACAATTAAAATGTAAAATTTTAAATATTTAAATACATTTAAATAAAATTCTTAAAATAACACAAATGTAAGTTCTTTCTACTACTAATTTTCTTTGAGAATAAATACAAGTCGTTCTTTATGAATTATCAAATTATTTAACAAAATAATCAAATCATTTTTTAATTGCTATACAAACAAATATAATAAAAGAACAAATATTGCAGTGAATTGTATATTGAAATAAAGTATTTTCAAGAATTTATTGGTTAACCCACAATGTAAGTTTGATTTTAGTTTTATATTTAAGGATTTTAAACATTTATAGGATGATGGAAATTGAGTTGTTAATCACTATAAACTTAGAAACTACTTTAAATGTTAGGTTAATAATTTATAAACTAAGGATTTTAAGGCTGAATTTATTGGTAAAATGGCTATTAAAATTAGGAAACTTAACTCTAACAAGACTAATTTAACAAATTTTGTCTTATTTCTTGCTCAGCTTTTTAAGTAGCTTACACATGTTTACCTTTAAGTATTAGTAAAAATGCTGTAGTACTAAATATCTAGATACAGGCTAAACAAAAGCTCACAATTTATACCACAAACATATCATTCCAATTATCAACTTTAAGAGTATCAAATTAATAACAACTATCAACAGCTCTGCGATAAGAACATTATTTGATAATAATCTAAAAAGAGTAATATTTAATCTATTCTTGTATATTACCTTGAGCTTCTAATTGACTGCAACTAGGATAATTCCTTTCTAAATAATAAGTAATAGTATTTGGTGAAACATATCCATCATGCCTTATTAGATAGCCTTTATATTATGTAATTAATTATTAGAATTTTATCAGTTGATTAAATTATTAAATAAATAAATTTTACCACAATACTTTTCAAAAGATCCTTCAAGAAAACTTACAAGCTATATGACAGGAGGTACATTAGTAGTAATGAAGATTAGAAATACTAATAAAAATATACCATTAGTTAATTCTTTCTTTTTCAGTACATAAAATCCCAAAAATTTAAAAAAAATTGTATAAGAAACTAATATTATTATAATGGTTTATAGGTTCTCATAAAAATCGTATTTATCCTTAAGATTTATTGAAGAAATAAAAGCTGTGATTGCATAAGCAATAAAGAACGCCATGATAACATAATAGAATTTGAACAAGCTTTTTATACTCTCTTTGTAGAGGTTAAGTATTTTTAATTTTTTTAGAGACTCAGTATTTTCAATCATTTCGTAATTTAATTATTCTTCTTAACAAATTTAATCTTTTGAGTTAACAAAAATCTTATTTTTATAAATCTTTTAATTTATAAATAATTTATTAATCTTATTTAATTTATGAGTTTGTTTTCACCTTTTAATTTTTTTCAATTTTTTTTTATGATCATCCTTGACTAATAGATTAGGAACCTTTTGTAAGATTTAATCAGGAAAATATTTATATTTTTGTATCTAGTTTTGAATATCTAAAATAATTAAAAAGTTCATATCTTTCTAACTTTAATATTTATGGATTTGAAGTAAATTTTAAGCTAGTTGTTTTTTTTAAAGTTATATTTATAAAAATTTATTATTTAGGTATAATGATATTTCTACTTTTCATTTAAAAATGAATTAAAAAATAATGCTCTAATTAAATGATAAACCAAATTTTATAACATTTGAATATTACAATTTTAATCAGGTATGGTTGATCCAAGAGTATTTGTAAGAAATTTTATTTTTTGGTTAGGTTTAAAGTAATATTTATCTATATTAATAAATTTATCCTAAGGTATAATTTAATAACTTGATCAGAAATTCTAATACTTATCAGAATACTAATTATTGTAAAAAAAAATCAAAAAAAAAGAAGTTAAATACCTCTAGAATTTTGTAATAATTATTGATATTCATCAAATAAAACTATTTAAAAAACTTATAAATTTAATATATTTTTTGTATATAATACTTACAAATATCAGTGATTAAAATTAAAATTTATAAAAATAAATTAATTATTTTAGATAAGTTTGGAAATATTCAATTTATTTGATAATATATAATAGTTTTTGTACTAAATATAAATTTGAAATTAAAAAACATCATGGTAATAATTAAAAGTTTAGGGAATTATAATTTATATAATTAATTATTATTTATTAGTATAGAAAAAATGTAATTTTATACCCCTAATTCACATTTTTAAACATTTTAATTTTATAAAATATTAAAAACTATTTATCTTTATTTTATTTGAAATATTGTGATTAAATTATAAATTGAAAAAGTATAATTATTTTATTTGTCAGAAAAAAGAAAATAATTAGAATTTATAATTAAAATTTTATTAATAATTAAAAACTAAAAAAAATATTATTAAAAAAAAAAGAATGAATGACCATAAATTTAAAATATTACTTTGGTAGATATAGATTTAATATTTGCATAAGATGAAATGTTTCAATTTAATTTTTCAATAAAGTTTAACATTTTTTGAAAAATATAAGGATATCAATGTTACTATAAATTATTATGATACTATCGCGCAAGTATTAGATACTTCTTTAAAATTGTATAGTAGGAAATCGTGATGCATAACTTATTTATAGTCAGCCAAGATATTACATTTTGCTAAAAATAAATAAAATAACTTTAATTGCTTGTGAGTAAAAAAAAATGTAGTTTACATATATATATGTAGAAAATACGTTATGGCTGCCTAAATCTAAATAAATTAATAACAAACAAAGTCAAAGGTAATTTTTTTAATTATGTATATAATCACTAATGTCATGATCAGTACTTGAAAAAAAATTCAAATATTGTTGTTGCTCCTAAAAAAAAATCACAATTAAAACCCCCCACCAATTCGATTATTTGAATCTGGCTTTGATATTTGAATGTTTTTTAATTTATTAATTAATTTTAAGTTACTATACTATACTTAGAATTTAAAAATAGCGACAATACATAGATTATAAACGCTCAAATTTAACTGTAACAAAAGCGAATGACTTTCAGGTCAAATATATATTTTAACCAAACACTTACTTAAGAGAAATAAATATTCTCATCAAATCAATTTTTTGGTTTCATTTTATTTTTTTTAATGTAAGAGATTATTGTAGTTACTAAATTTAGAATTTAAAGAACTTGGTTTTCTATATAATTTTGATAAACAGAAATAAGAAAATAGGTTTGAAATTTTGATAAGTTGATAGTTATTTAATTGATAGATTTAAATTTTAAGAATAGAACTAATTAAGATTTAAAAAAGCAAAAGTAATAAAAAATATATAAATTTACAGTAGAAACATTTAGATATGAACTATCTTAATCTTCTTTTTTTTGCTTACTTAATAGTTTCAATGACCTTATAACTATGTGATCTAGGTTGTTAAACTTGCAGTTCTTCATTGAAAAACATAAATAGTTAATGTTTAGAGTGCTATGATGGATATCTTTTAGACAATAATGTTTGTATTTATCAAGACTGTCTACCTAATTTATATTTGCAAATAAAAGAGAACTCTGAAAAATAGTGCTAATCTATTTGCGATCCCTAATTCTATTATAATATAGAGTCTAAAACATGTGTGAATCAGATCTAATGTACAACTACATATTCAACTTAATTAAATCCTTTCTTTTTTGGTTATGATATTATTGAGGTTTTACTCTACTAAGAATAATATTATGTAGCTTTATAAAAAGGAATCCTTTCTATTTATAATAGAAATGATTTAGGTTTGATCAAAACTCTGAATTACTTGCAAGATGATTTAACTATATAAAATGTAAACGGATTAATTATAGTTTTAAAATAAGATTTTTCTATCAATATTTGGGATATTATCAATGAAAATAGAAATATAATTGACTAAACAAATTTAATTTAAGTTAGTTAGTAAATTTAATATACTTCTTTTTAGAGCAATTACTTAATGATTTTTAACGTATAATAAGATTATTCATAGTTCTAAGTAATATTTGATTAATTAAAATAATAATAGCTAATTTCTAACATAATTCAAATTAATTAATCATTTGAATTTATCACTATTCTTAATAACCTATTATTTATGGGAAATGAAACTAATCTAATGGTTTATCAAATCAGCTTCTAATCCTAAACAAAAAATTTAAATTTAACTAACCCAATAAAATTTACTTATACAAACTAAGGACAATTACTCTAGATCCTTGAAGCTTAAAACTCGAATTCTTTTTTTTCAGTTTATAGCAATTCTATATTACAAATTGATATTAATGAGAAAAAATAATCTTTATTAATTAATTAATAATCAATTAGAAAAGCAAAAATTATTGAAACTACTAATCAAACACACTTAATTGTTTTAACTCAACTAAACCTGATTGATTACAACTGTAATACTAAATAATCAAATATCATTTCAAATGATATGATGGTTGTAACTGATTTTGATATAGGAAATTTTTCAGGTATTGATAATCAGCTAATAATCATTTTTAACAAAAATTAATTACAGATTTATAGTATCAAAGAAAATTAGTTTGAAAAATTTTAATAAATAATAACTTTGAATATTTAACCTTAACCTTTAAAAAAAATACCAATTAATTATTATTCAAATCAAGTTGAATCACAACAAAAATTTTAAATAGCTTTCATAAATTTTGATTCAATTTAAATAATCAAATAAAGTAAAACATAGAAATTTATTTTGGAAACAAATATAATCGAAAATTTTAATTTACCTTTTCCTACACCAGCATCTGTAGTTAAATCTCTTATCTTAGTACCCACTCCTCCTATTTTAATATCTTGTCATAGAAATGGAGATATAAACTTTTATGATGCTTCAAAAGGAATTAATATTGATTTAATTAGGAGGCTGAGGTTTCCTTAATAATCATGCATTTATTTATAAAGATTTCATGACAATAAAATAGCTGTATAATTTTCTTAAACTATTTTGTTAATTGATCCTTCTTCTTAAGTTATTTTGAATACATTGAAAGATTTAAAAAATTTAGTACAAATCATATCTAATTATGATAAATTAGCAATAAACTATAATAATTGCATTTAAATTTTTACATCAGATTTTATAAGTCTTTTTAAGGAGTGTTAGACTATTTTTTCTAGTAATAATATAAATATTGCATTAACTTATGATCTAAAAATTATAGCTCAAAAGCAATAGTAAATATTAATTTATTAAATTGATTTGGTTACTTAGTAATATTAATAGATAAATTACATATCAACATAATATTCAATTAAGTATTTCAATTTTACAAAAATATTCAAAACTGATAAAGAACAACTATTAAATAAATATATTATTGATGAAATTGTATATTTTGATAATTAGAATATATTTTATACTTGTGATATTTCACTATCAATAACTTATAGAATAAGTATTCCTTTAATTTAAACTGTTGTTTCAGTTAAAAGAGTGATTAATGATTCTTCTGTTTATTTTTTAGCAGGAATTTAGTATATTTAAGGAAGTAATAGTATTTTTTTAATTTCAAAAAATTTGGATTATCCATTACTAATTCACACCAGTTCTTATTTTCCTACAATGCAAGAGCCAAAAAAATTGATAAATGGATTTGGAAATACTTTTTACAGCATTAAAAGAGTTTTTTTGCTGAATTTTTTCACTGAAATTTAAGAGCTTCAGGTTGACATCAGCAGGAATATTACTTACTATGGCGGTTTAGATTATATTTAGGCTTAAAAATAATACAACTATATTGATAATATGATTGGATCAAATTAAAACTTTTTGATTTATATAGGAACTGGAGAAGGCTTAATTTTTACAGATATGTATTAACAAGAGAGGTACAGATAATTAAGTTCAAACCAAGTTTTATCATCTGTTTTATAAAATGATTCAATATAAGAAATAATTTAGAGTGCTTATCTAGGAGTTTATTTTATTAGGACAAATTATTAAATAACATCATTTGACATAATTACTAATTAGTTTATAGAATAGTTAAATCCTTAAGATTTAAATGATCCTCCTTATTCCTCGTTTGGTTTTGTTCCAGGTAATTTAGGAATTATTTGTTGGAATCAATAACAACTTCTTTATGTTTTATATAATGTAACATCTTAAAAAATCTATTATTAAGGATTAAATAAAATAAATGGATGGATTTTAGATGCTACTTCAAATAACTTTTATATTTATGGGAGTACTTTGCAATTATTAGATTCTAAAATGAAACTTTTATAAACTACCACTGATGATTACTAAAATATAGAATTTATCTCATGTTAGGACTCATCATAGATTATTGTTTGCAGTATATCAATAACCCAATTTGTAATAGTTACTAAGTAAATTAACTAATTTACTATTTAGAGTATTTAGATAACTGATTTTGCTACTCAATTTCAAATATCGATTGATGAAAAATTCTAAACTATCTTTTTATACTCAGATTAAATCTAAATTTTTAGCTTTAAAGGAATTTTTATAAAGTAATATTAGCTCTATACATAATTTACTTCTTTTTCTATAGCAACTACAAGCATTTTATTCTAATCAAATATATGTAAAATTTAATTCAATTAATCTAAAATTCATTTAATTTGTTAATAAATAATAAATAGATATATTCTTAGTAGACAGAAAAACTTAAGTGTTATAGTACAATAATATTTCAGCACCATCAGGTTTATTTATTGAAAAATATATCTATTTAGAATACTTTGATTATATAGTATTATTTACAAATCTTAGTATTTATGCATAAATTTATGTTTACGACTATTGGTCTTTATAAAATATAGCAAAGGTAAGTGGTAGTTTTGCATCAAACTAAATAGGTAATGTTGTGGATATGTTTTTTGATTATAGTTCTATTTACTTGGCATATTTAGATACTTATGGAAATATTTACATGATTCGGTTATATGATGATTTCTCAATTTTAAATAATTATAAAATCACAGAAGTATTTGATAGAAATGAATAATTAGTTGGTTTTTCTTTTGATAATATAACTAATAATTTATTAGTATATAGCACCAATACTATTTATTAAATTGATATAAGCTAAGCAGGATATAGTTATGAAGTACAATAGAGTGAGCCAAGTAATTTATTTACTTTAATACCATTAAAGGGATAAACATTAAATTTTGAGTTTTTGTTTTTTAACAATGATAATGTATTATTCAGATATTCAAAACAAAAAATTCTTTTTGAAGACTTAATAAATAATTCTTAAATTATTGATTTGAATTACTATGATCCCTATGATACTTTATTAATTGCTTTAATTGACTCTATTTTATTATATAAAAATTATTAAAATTTAAAAGCTAATAATGATACTCCATAGTTTTTGGTTTTAGAATAAATCTAATTCTTTAAGTTTCTATAATTTAATTTAATTCTGACATATGACAAAAAAATAATTTATTGTGATATATTAACTGGATAAATTATAGATTTTGTTTAGCTTTAAGCTTAAGTTGTTGTAACATCTCATATTTGTAGTGCAGATAAAAATAAAATATTAATTGGATTAAGTAACGGGCAGGTTTTACACTATGATTTGAATGATTTGAGCTAAAAGTATTATAATATTTAAAATACTAATCAATTTAACACATCAATAATATCAATAATTTTAGTTGAAATATAATATTAAAATTAAATAGCTTATTCAGTTACAAATGGTGGAATATTGCTAATTGTAGATATCACTTAAAAAAAATTAGTTTAAGAATTAAATCTTATAGATTTAGCCAAAGAAGATCCTTCTATCATCTTAAAAGATTTTGCACTAGATTATAAATATTCAAGATATATTTTTGTTTTTAATGGATAAAAGAAAGCTTATGTTTGGAATTTCTCAATCAACAAATTAGAAAAATCTCTCGTTCTTACAAAAAAATAAGGAAATTAATTAAAACTAATCAACAATTATTTAATAGCATTTTGCACTTTTTAGCTAAATATTTTCTATGTTTCTGATTAAATATCTCTACTAACAATTATTAAAAGAAATTTCGCATATGATTAAATAACAGATTACTAAATAATAAATGATAATATCGTTGTTATATTTTTTATTATCAAATATGAAGTATTTTTAATTTAAAAAAATTCCAATAGGTTGATATTTTAATAATTTTACTCAAATCCAAGATATTTAGGCTCAATATATAATTAAGAAGATCATACATTTAAGCTATATGGGTTGCATGAAACTGGAGTATTTGAAAATAATTTTAGCATTTCTCTGTATGATAGCGACTAAATAAAGTAATGTTCTACCATTGTATAAGATAATGACGTCTCGTAACTAAACTAAAAAATTAAAAGTATCTCTCCAAAGTAGGATTTGTAATATGCATTTTTTGGATCAACTACCGAGAATCAGTAAGATTGGATAAATATAATTTAGCTTTCAGTAAAAAGTGAATAATTCATAAACATAAATCGTTAGATTAATGACTAGTACCTGACAAACTCGATTTTCTTATTCTACCCATAACAAGAAAGTAATAACTTGCTGATAACTAATGAAACCTTTTCATATTTTTAATAATCATAATTGCTTATTTTTAACTATAATTTAGTTTTTCTAAACTAATAATAAACTAATGCAACAATTAATAATAATATTGAGACAGTTATTTGGTAGAATATAACTATATATGGTTAATGTCTTGATAAAATATAAATAAATTTATCAAATATTAATACATTAATTTTTTAATCTATTAAAATATAACAACTATTCTTGTGTAGTAAAAATACCAGAAAAAATCCATAGCTTTAGTTTTTCAGTTTTTAAAACATATCTTAAATCTTCATTTATGATTTATAAATAACTAGCCTTTAACTAGACTCAAGAATAAATTTTACTCTTTTTAATTTTAATTAAATCTAAAGTATATCGATTGATGGATTGAATATAACTAAAAATCAGAATATAAGTTCACTCTTTTAATTTATTTAAATAAATAATATTATGATAAAAAATATTAATTTAATTGAAAATTCAAATTTTATGAATGATAATAATGCTAGTTAAGTATCTTATATAGATAAAACTAAATTAGAATCTTTATAAAGTGATTCAGTTTTTAACTTCTTTGGGTGTGAGCAAGTAATAATTAGTAATTCGCTCTTTTAAAGTAACAATCAAATTTAATTGATAAAGTCATTTAGTAAATATTTACTGAATAATTAATTAACAGTTCTGTTCGATGATATAATTGAATTAATTGATTTATAAATTATCTCAAACATAAACCCTAACTAATATATTTTAATGATATAAAGCTCTTATGTATCTTAATCAAATGTTATATACTAATAGAATCAAGGTGCCTTCATAATAAGTTAATCATAAAATGTATCAATTAATGAAAGCTAATATTCAAACAACTATGCTTAAAATGGTGGCGCGATTCATTTATCAAATATTTATAGCTAAATAAGTTTTACTAATTGTTTATTTTAAAATAATACTGCTTAAAGTAGCGGTGGAGCTCTCTACTTTGAGGATATAGGATCTACATAAATATATTTTGATCTAAAAACATTAATAAAATAAAATAAAGCTCTTATAGGAGGTGGATTAAGAATAGTTCAAACTAACCTAAGCAGTTTGATACTTCCTTCAGATTTTCCATTTAAAATAAATGTCATAGAAAATAATGCAAGTATATATGGAGATAATTCTGCTACTTATCTCCAAAAACTAGTTATATAAAATGCAAATTCTAAAGAATCTTAAAACGGTTATTCTTTTAGATTTTATGATGAATTAAATTAATTGCCTTAAATTTATAAAAAACAATACTCATCTTTAGTAGATATCAAAGATTTCTAAAGTGGTGGCTAGCTTTAATTAAAGATTTAAATTGTTGATAATTATAACCGTTATCTTTCATTTTCTCTAGAAGATTTATAAAATAATTAATACCCGAGTGATATATAAGAGGAGCTAAAGAGTATTCAAATTACGATTAATAACCTAAATACAAACTAAACTTAGCTTATTGGAGAGAGGATTTTAAATTATATTTAATTTGATAGTGTAAGTTCATCATTTTTATTGACAGGACTTTAAGTATAAGGCGCTTTATAATCTTTGTAATACTTCTCATTAGATTCTAATATATATAGTAATTCATAAATATAGCTGCCAATACTTTTATAAATATATTTTAGAGAATGTTTGATTGGTGAAATAATTGAATATTAAGTAAATTAAATAATGGTATGTAAAATTTGCTCATAAGGTTAATATTCTCTATTAGATCCATAGTTATTATATTAATAGTCATAAGAAAAGTAATCTTAAGTGAATAATTAATGCAAAAATTGTCCATAATCTGCTAAAGAATGTTAAGGCTCTATTATATAACTAAAAAATGGGTATTGGAGATAAAATAATTTGACAGATGAAATAGTTGAATGTAATTCATAAATAGAGTCATGTTAAGCAGAAAATCCTTCATCTATTAATTTATGTAAGATAGGTTATATTGGTCCCTTATGTTAAGGATGTGATAATTTAGGAGAAATTTGGCATGGAATTCGTTATAGTGAGACAACTAAATAGGGTGAATGTTCTGAATGCTCTCCAATAATATTTGAATAAATTTACTTTTTGCTTAAAATGATTACAATGATAATATATTTTACACTTGCTACCTTTAAATTTATTTCTCAATTTAAATACACATAAACATGTTATTATTTAAGACAAATTAAACTTTTACCAGTTTCAAAAAGCTCTATAGATGACTATTCTGGATTTTATTTAAAGATAATAATAAACTACTACCAACTTTCCTCTCTTCTAATATCTCAACCTTAAATAATAAAAGTTGATATCAATTTTCTAAACATCTTTTTTGGATAAACAAATAGATATTTAAGTCTAGGCGTTGATTGTATGTTTAGCGCAGATAGAATTAGAAAATATGGAAAAGTAGTTTTCTTCTCTCTAGTATAATTTTTAGTGATTTTTTAATAGTTTTTCTTTACTTTATTAATGTTAAAAACTATTTAATTATGTTTTTCAAAAAAAGTAAAAACCTATCATTTTTTAACTTTTTTCCATATTTTTTTAATCTTCTTTTAGATAAGCTAAATATCTTATTTTGTTAAGAGCTTAACTTGCAAGTTTGTAGGTAGCTAATCATTAAATCCTTATGATTTAAATACGCAATGTCATGATTAAGATACAGTTAAATTTGTATTTCCCTATTCAATATTTATGCTATTTTTTTGGACAATAATGCCTATATTTTTTTTAATAAAAATATACTAAAACAAATTAAGATTGGATGAGTGCAGAATTAAATATTTATACGGATATTACTATGGTGAAATGAAGAAATAACATTTTTATTGGGAATTTGTCAGGATTTATTTGAAAATAATCTTAATCTATATTTAAACTTTACTAAGTTAAACAAGCTAATTTACATAAAATTCAATTTTAATAATAATTGCAATTTATTTAATGTCACTTAAAAAATTAAATCCTTTCATTTCTTAAAGTATTCATTCTAGTGAAATGTAAGGATACTCATTATTAATTTTAAAAATATATTTGAATTCAATAAATAGTGATTCTAATAATCTATAAAAATTTATAGAAATTGTCACAGTTTTGATAGATTATATTTTTATACTAATTTGTGGATTCACAATTGCAATCCATAAAGCTAAAAAAATTAATAACTTATCTAGTAAATTTATAAGATTCTTACTGAAAATATTTTTGACCAAAAAATAATTTGAAAAATAAATAGCTAGTTCAAAAACTTCATTTAAAACATTCCTTAAATGGAAATTTGTTCAGAAAAATTTAATTAAAATCCTTTAATTAAAAATATCTTAAAATATTAATATAGTGTCATTAAGATAAAGTTAAAGAGTAAATAGCATTCAAACAGATCTTTAATAAAGCTGTAATTTTTTTATTTATTTATCTATTTATATTTTTAAATATTATATCCTTAAATAGCATTTATTGGATTAGTAAAGAGGCCAAAGTTAAGCTAAAGCAACCCTTTTTAATATTCTGAAAATTAAATTTATTAGAAGCATAAAAGTAAAAGTATCTTCAGATAAAAATAAATTACTACCACAAATTAGAGTTATTAAAATGGTACAGTTGAAATTATAATGGAATCTAATGATAATTCTGAATTAAATGAGTTTGATTCTAAAAAATAATAAATTCGTAGAATAACTTCTGATTCTCCAATCACGAATTACAACTTTAACAATTTGACATTTGATTGAAATTTTTATTCTCAATTAAAACTAAACAATTTATCTTTTTTTCTTCATAGCAAAAAAACTTTTTAAAAATTTAAACAATGATTATCTTTTAAAATTTAACTTAATTATTGTCTTTATTTATATTAATCAAATGTAGTTAAATAAATTATTTGATACCTTTAATTTATTTTTTATGATTTAAAAAAAGATATTTATTAAATTAGAAGACTAAGATTATGAATTTTAAAATGTATGAAAGACCTTATTTAAGAATCGCATTTTGAAGAGTTACACTCTAAAAATTTCATATCATAATCTACAATTTTTTATATCAATAAAATATAACTTGTTTTTGAAATGTATTTATTAAAGAAATTTTCTAAAATTTGTTTTGAATCTATATTTCTTGAACCATATTAGTAAAACTTACTTTGAATTTTTGAGTCAGAGTCATAAAAACTTGGACTAATTTCGAGGACTATATAAACTTTATCAAAATTTAAAAATAATACTTACAATCTTAACAATTAAAAATATTTAGTCCACTTACTTTGATAAATGGTAAATTAATATTAAATTTAAATTCTAAATATTTATTTATTTGGATTTCATAAATAAATTATTAAAATTTTTTAACTATTTTCAAAATATGATTAAAATTTTATCAATAGATTTGGCAGGGTAATAAGATAAATAGTAGGATATTATGATATTATGATAAATGAATATTTTATAAATAAAAATAATACTTTTTTTACAAAAAAATAAAATGTCATTATTAATATAAAATAAATGATTATTTTTTTGATTCCTATTTTATTTATTTAGAATTTTAAAGATGTAGTCATATTTGTTTAAGTAATGATTTCAAATATTTATCTTTAAAAATTTTTAAATAGATCAATTTACTTTTCTATTTTATTTTCAAAATAAATACTAAAATAAATTATAAATTTGAAAAACTATTAAGTAAGTACAGAATATTTTTTGTTTTTTAATATAATTTATAATATTAAAGATTTAAAAGTGTTTGTAATCCTCTAAATTAGGATTTAATAATTGAATAAATTTTAATAATTAATCTTATAAATGATACAAATTTAACAATATGGAAAAAGCGATAAATTAGATTTTAGCTTCAAGAACTTACAGGCTAGCCTAACACAAATTCTTAATTTTATTTTACATTTTAAGGATGTTATTGAATTAAAAGATGTGGTATGTATGGTTGCTAGTTATTTTAATTATAAAGATTATAGCTTTATTAAGGCAATGCTTGTTAAATAACTGGTTAAAAAAATACCATTTGTCCTTATTAAGCTTGGCTTTATAAATTATTTTTTATTTCTTAATCAACTTTTTAGGTAGCTTGAACATGCTTAACTTTGAATAAAATAATCAAAGTAGCTGCAGAAAATATCCAAACCTAACCTAAACAAAAGCTAACAATTTATAGAACAAACATATCTTCCCAATTATCAATTTTCAGAGTATCAAATTAGTAACAACTTTATTGATCTTATTAATATTTGCATTCTGAGATAATGATTTTTATAGAATTATAAATCATCATGTTAACCAAATCCCCACTTTATTCCATTTCACTACAGCTAGGATAATAGTTTTATAAATTAAACTCAATGAGCCAAGCATCTACATACCCATCATGTCTAATTAATTGGCCTTTTTTAGAAAACATTATTTAATATTTATTTACTATATAAGTTAAAATGTTGTTTACCACAATATTTGTCAAAGCAACCTAAAAGAAAACTTACAAGCTAGATAATTAATGGAGCGTACATGATAGATTTAACTACTAGCAATAAGAAAAAAAGCAAATGAGTCAATTATTTAGTTTTTAGTAGATAGATTGTTAAGATCTCAAACAAGATTGAGATTGCTGCAAATATTATAATACTCAATTATACATCTGTTAAATAAGAATATTTGTCTCTCAAATTTTTTGAAGAAATTATAGCTGTAACTGCGTAAGCAAGAAATAGTAATGTCAAAACAAAGTAAAGCTTGAAAAGAGTCTTTGTATTTTCTTCGTAGTTTTATTTTATTTTTTTATTTTTTTCTTCACCAAAATTTTAAATCATTAGCCAATATGTTGGTTTATTTTTTTGCTTTTTATTATTTGATTTTTAATTAAATATTTATGTATATTTGATTTAAATTCTGAAGTATTTAATGGAAACAATTATTTATCTTCATAATAAATATAAAATATGATAAAAATAAATTAGCTATATTACTCTTTGTGGTTAAAATAGATACCTGATAAGAATCTGATTAATGATAAGATATTATCAGATTTTTAAATAAGGGTTTACATTAGTTAAATTTTTTAATTAAAAATAGAAAAGAAAAAAACAAGTCTCTTATGATTAAAGAAGTAAATTTTTTGACTTACTAATTTTTTCTAAATAAGTTGAGTTAAAATTTTAAAATGAAGATTTAATTTTTATGCAAACTCAAAGTAATCTAAGTAATATTAATAAAATACAACAAGACTTAGAATTTTAAAGAAGATTTCAAAAATCAAGTAATTATTTGTTAATTGAAATTGTTTGAATAAAGTAAATAAATTCTTTTACAATTTGCGAAAATCAAATTTATTTTTGATCAATTTTATAAATATTAATTTTAATCAATTCTAAGTTAAGTTTAAATAATTCCAAAAATTTGTAATCTTTCAACTAAATTGCACATTTAAAAATTAAACTAATTATTGATTGATTATCACTTATTTTACAAACGCAAAAATTTGAAAAAATTTACTTTTTTTATTTCTAAAGAAATGTAACATAATTTGTTTTTGAATGATTAAAAAGACTAAAATAAAAAAACGACTTAGATTATTTAAAATTGTATTAAATACTATTTGGCAAACTTTATTAATTGATAAATATATTTTTAAACAAAATAATTTTAAAAAAAGCAGCATATTAATTTAATTTTAATACAATAATAATAATTAGTTAGAAAACATAAAATTTATATTGCCTGCTTTAAGAGTGAAATTAACTTCTTAAATAAATTATAAATAATTTCGTTTCTTTTATAATTTATAAAAATAATTAATTAAGAAATAGATGTCTCTATTTATCTATCTATTTAACTAACTATCAAAATTAAACGAAATTTAGAATATAATATTCTTAGATAGTTTTTTATTAAAATTATAATATTTACTTAAGTTCCTCACTTATTAAACAATTTATATTAAGGGCCAAAATAATAATTTCAGATTAATTTATTATTTATATATAATTGTGATTTAAAAAAATATAGTTAATGTAGAAAATACGTTAAGGTTGCCTAAATTTTAAATAATCTAGAATTTAAATTTGAGGAACTATACAAACTACCTAAAAGCAATAACATTGACATCTAAAAAAATCAATCTTACTCCTATAATTAGAAATTTAATTATGATATAATGAATGCTATTTTTGTATTTTATTTTTTTAAATTTTTATATGCATATAAACAATAAATTAAAAAAAGTTATTGTAGATAAAAAAGAAATATTTCTTTATTCTTTTGATTTCTATTTTAATAACTTTAAATTTTAAGACTTTATCCAAATTTGTTTTAGCAATTATATCAATTGTTTATCTATGCAAATATAAAGATAGATCCATTCATTTTTTTATTTTATTGTCAAAATACAAAAGGAAATTAATTATAAATTTTAAAAGATTTTTATTATAAAATTATTAAGTAAAGTAAGCAATTTTTTTTTGTTATAAAATAAATCTTAGTATTAAATATTTATAAGTATTTATAATTCTCTAAATTAGAATTTATTTTAAGGAAAATACTTTTATTATTTTATCAATTAAATTTCAAAAGAATATAATCTTACAAATTATCAAAAATAAATTTAAACAATATATAAAAAGTGATAAATTAATTATAAACAATTTTGCTTCAAGAATTTACAGGCTAGCCTAAAGTACATACTTAATTTTATTCTACATATTAAGGAAGTTAAACAGAGTGATTAGGTGGTATGCATACTTGCTAGATATTTTAATTATGAGGATTTTAGTTTTATTAAGGTAGTGCTTGTAAATTAACTGGTTAAACAAATACCATTTGTCCTTTATATGTTTGGCTTTGTAAATTATTTTTTATTTCTTAATTTACTTATTAGGTAGTTTGAACATGCTTAGCTTTGAATAAAATAATCAAGGTAGCTGCAGAAAATATCCAAACCTAACCTAAGCAAAAACTAATAATTTGTGGTACAAACATATTTTCCCAATTATCAATTTAAAGAGTATCAAACTGGTAACAATTTTGTTATTCTATAAATTAGCATTCTGAGGTAATAATTTCTATAGAACTATAAATCATTATGTCAACCAAATCCCCACTGGATTACATTTAACTACAGCTAGGATAATATTTTTCTAAAGCAAAAATAATGAACCAAGGAGCAACATACCCTTCATGTCTAATTAATTAGCCTATTTTAGAAAAAATTATTTAATATTTATTTAATAGATCTGTAAAAATGTTGCTTACCACAATATTTATCAGAGGACCCTATAATAAAACTGACAAACTATATGATTAGCGGAGAGTACACGATACACTTAACTACTAGCAATAAGAAAAAAAGCAAATGAGTCAATTATTTAGTTTTTAGTAGAAAGATAGTGATGATCTCAAATAAGATTGAGATGCTTGCAAGTACTATAATGCTCAATTATAGATCTTCATTATATAAATATTTGTCTCTCAAATTTTTTGAAGAAATTAATGCAGTAACTGCATAAGCAAGGAAGAGTAGAGTCAAAAATAAATATAGCTTGAATAGAGTCTTTGTATTTTATTCATAGCATTAGTTTATTTTTTTGTTTTTTTCCTAATCAAAATTTTAAATAATTACTAATCTATCAATCAATCTAAGTTTCTGTTTGTTTATTTTTTTGCTTTTTATTATTTGATTTTTAATTTAACTAATTATATAGGTTTATTTTAAATTCTGAAGTTTTGTAGATAGATAATTTTTATCTCTTTTTGTAATTAATAACATACCAGAAAAATAGACTAGTAACACTATTTTTAGTTAAAATAGACCAACCACACTTGAATATGATTAATAATAAGAATTTTAAATTTAAATTAAAAATAGAAAATAAAAGAGCGTCTCTTTGATAAATGAAAATTTGTTTGACAAACTATTTTTTTCTAACATAATTTAGCTATTATTTTTGAAGTAAAATAAAAGTATTTATGCAAACTCAAAGTACTCCATTAAAAAATAATCAAATAAAATTAGACTAAATATTTTAAGGAATATTTCGAAAATCGAGTAATTATTTGATGATTTCAACTGTTTTGAGTAAAATAATCAAGTTCTTCTATTTTAATTTGGTGTATATCTAATTTATTTTGGCTTAATTTTAAAATAGATCATTTTAATCTATACTAAATTAAGATTAAATAATTCCAAAAATTTGTACTTTTTCAACTTAATTTAACTTTCAAACATAAATCATAAAATATAAAGGATATTGGCAATGCGGCGTCAAAAATATAATTCACCATTTTATCATTTTTACACGTTTTATTAAGTACAGAATATTTTTTGTTTGTAATATAATTTTTAATATTAAAGATTTTAAAGTATTTATAATCCTCTAAATTAGAATTTAATAATTAAATAAATTTTTCATAATTAATCTTATAAATGATAAAAATTAAACAATATGTAAAAAGCGATAAATTAGATTTTAGCTTCAAGAACTTACAGGCTAACCTAACACATATTCTTAATTTTATTTTATATATTAAGGATGTTATGGAATTAAAAGAGGTGGTATTTATGGTTGCTAGTTATTTTAATTATAAAGATAAAAGTTTTATTAAGGCAATGCTTGTTAAATAACTGGTTAAAAAAATGCCATTTGCCCTTATTAAGCTTGGCTTTATAAATTATTTTTTATTTCTTAATCAACTTTTTAGGTAGCTTGAACATGCTTAACTTTGAATAAAATAATCAAGGTAGCTGCAGAAAATATCCAAACCTAACCTAAACAAAAGCTAACAATTTATAGAACAAACATATCTTCCCAATTATCAATTTTCAGAGTATCAAATTAGTAACAACTTTATTGATCTTATTAATATTTGCATTCTGAGATAATGATTTTTATAGAATTATAAACCATCATGCTAACCAAATCCCCACTTGATTCCATTTTACTACAGCTAGGATAATATTTTTATAAATTAAACTCAATGAGCCAAGCACCTACGTACCCTTCATGTCTAATTAATTGGCCTTTTTTAGAAAACATTATTTAATATTTATTTACTAGATAAGTTAAAAAGTTGTTTACCACAATATTTGTCAAAGGATCCTAAAACAAAACTTACAAGCTAGATAATTAATGGAGGGTACATGATAGACTTAACTACTAGCAATAAGAAAAAAAGCAAATGAGTCAATTATTTAGTTTTTAGTATATAGATTGTTAAGATCTCAAACAAGATTGAGATTGCTGCAAATATTATAATGCTCAATTATACATCTGTTAAATAAGAATATTTGTCTCTCAAATTTTTTGAAGAAATTATAGCTGTAATTGAGTAAGCAAGGAATAGTAATGCCAAAACTAAGTATAGCTTGAAAAGAGTCTTTGTATTTTCTTCGTATTTTTATTTTATTTTTTTATTTTTTTCTTCACCAAAATTTTAAATCATTAGCCAATTCAAAATATTTTATGTTGGTTTATTTTTTTACTTTTTATTATTTGATTTTTAATTACTATTTATGTATATTTAATTTAAATTCTGAAGTACAGTGCTACCTATAAATTACTAGACTCCCGTTAGAGAATTTACAATCGGAGCATTTTTAGATCAGTACAGGTAAAAAAATAAATATATAAAAAGTCTAAAAAGTCTAAAAGTCTAAAAAGTCTGAAAACCTATAAACTCTAAATATTTATAAACCCTGATTTTCTAAAAAAGTTCAAAATTGTAAAACTCTAAATATTTATAAACCCTGATTTTCTAAAAAAATTTTTTTACTCTCAAAATTTGAAAAAAGGTTTCTGTCTGTATTTTGATTAATTTTTGTAAAATATAAGAAATCAAATAAAAAGAAAATAATTAAGATTTAGAAAAAAAAAAATTTTCATTAGTAATATAAAAATTATTTGAAATATCACAAATCATGATATCATGATCTGTGATATTTCAAATGCAGGAACAGCTATATTATCAGACTTTTAATAGGATTTACATTGTTTACATTTTTAATTAAAATAGGGAAAAAAAAAGCAAGCCTCTTATTATAAAAGAAAAAATTCTTTAACTAGTTCATTTTTTTAAAATAAGCTTAGTACTATAATTTTTAAAATCAAGATTTCATATTTATGCAAACTCAAGTAATATTAATAAAATGCAACAAGATTTAGAATTTTAAGGATGATTTCAAAAATTAAGTAATTATTTGCTGATTGAAATCGTTTGAATAAAATAAGTAAATTTAAGTAAATTTTTTTATAATTTTCGAAAACCAAATTTATTTTTGATCAATTTTATAAAGATTAATTTTAATCGATTCTAAGTTAAGATTGAATAATTCAAAAAATTTGTAATCTTTCAACGAAATTATACATTTAAAAGTTAAACTAATTATTGATTGTCATTTATTTTACAAAAATCATAAATTTGAAGAAATATTTGCTTTTTTAAAATTCATTTTCTAAAGAAATGTAACATAATTAGTTTTTGAATGATTTAAAAGACTAAAATAAAAAAAGTTTATTAATTACCATTTGGCAAACTTTGTTAATAGATAAATATATTTTTAAGCATAATAATTTTAAAAAAACAGCATATTAATTTAATTTAAACGCAATAATAATAATTAGTTCGAAAACATAAAATCTAAATTGCCTGCTTTAAGAGTGATATTAAGTACTTAAATAAATTAAAAATACATTAATTTCTTTTACAATTTATAAAAATAATTTATTAGGAAACTAGTTGTTTTTATTTATTTATTAAATTGTACTTTATTTATGATCTAAGAAGCCATCAATTAGTTAGATCATTAAAAATTTAATAAAAAAAATTGTGAATTTCACTAATTTATCTTAGAAAATAAGATAATTGGTCTAATCTAATTATTTTATCTTCTCAATATTTGCACACTATTAAAAAAGTGCTACATTTCAAATAAATAAAAAAATTCTGCTTAGATATTATTTGAAAAAATATATATTTGAGTAACTAAATAAATATAAATCTGATTACTTTATTATTCTTTTATTAATTTTTCATCTTCTTTCTGTAAATAATCATTGATTAACTTAATTTTTAATGAATTAAATTTATATTTAGTAACATAAATATATATTTTTTCAAATAAAAACAACATAGTATACTAAGTTTATAATTTAAAGCAAGTACCTTATATTCATCTCCTATAAAAGCTAGGATCTTTACTATATTTAAACTAATTCTTTACTTTGTGAGAAAAAAAATGTTAACAACTAAAATTTTTTAGATTAAACATAAAAATAATATTAATCAAAGATAACTAATTGAAATATATTTGATAAGAAGAAATATGTTTAGCACATAGTATCTCAGAATTTATGTATTTTATGAAATTCATTTGAAGATTTTATTTTAATTTTGCTTGTGAATAATTAAAAAAGAAATAAATTTACTGATTATAAAAATAATTAAAAACCTTTAATTAATTAAAATTAATTTAAAATTAAAAAAACTAAAATAAATCTTAATATAAATTTTCTAAATAGTTTAACATTTAATTTTCACTCATCTATCTTTTTGATATAAGAACAACTGAAGCATATCGAATCAAAAATATATTAGAGCATGATATGCAGATTACATATTTTAATTATTATTATTGTTTTTATATTTTTTAAACTTCCCTACAAATAAAATAAATAGTTTATAGTTGGTAGTAGCATAAGAGATCTTGCTAATAATAAATATAATAAAAAAATAATACATTTTAAATAAAATTATTGAATTTTCAACACTTTAGCATATGATAACTAACTAACTAACTCATTCATTTTCATTCTTACAAACATTTTTATTAATAAGATAATAAATAATGCTGGTGATTTCATATAAATTGATTACAAATTTGAAGTATATAAAAAAGAAACACACTAGATGTATTATTATTACTATAGTATTTGTTATAATTCTATTATTATTACTCATAGTCTAACTAAATAATTTTCAATTTAAAGCTATTGAATTAGCAAATAAATAAGCAAATGCAGGAAAAACATAATTTTATTTTTCATTTAAGAATTTCTATTATGCAATCTAAAGAACCTACTTTTTTAATTTGGAATTCGTCATATATGCTATTTTTAAATTTCTATGAGTTTTCTTTATCAATAAATTGCTTGCATAACTTTTTAACATCTTCCTTGTAGCTGTTTTCATTGAAAGAATCGCCAGTTGTGTTTCTAGAATAGAAGAATTTCTCAATTTCTACACAAATCTTAGTTGTTTCATTCATTTTAGATTCTTCAAATCCTTTTTAGAAATATTTAAGAATACCTTACAATCCTTGATTTCTTCTATCATTTTTATAAGCAGGCAAATTATTGTTTTAAGCAGTAGTATCTGGTTTAGCTTGTTCAGTGCTTTATGTTTTCTATTAAACAGGAACATTAGCTTTTACAGCTTTTTATTATTATGGTTAAGCATTTGATACAGAAGAGTTTTCTGCGTTAGTGCTAGCAGCAGTAGGAGCTGATGCAGCAGCATTTTGATCTTAAGAAATAGATTTAAGCTTTGGGAAGAAAGCTCTGAACTTTATAAGTAAATTTCTTGCTAATTTTCCAACCAAGATTCTAGGTTCATCTTAATTTGGGTACTTAAATTATGAAATTCTGACTAATGTTTTTGTAATTCTAGTTTTTCTAATCCATTCCTTATTTATAGATTCGCATTCCTTGATTGATTTCAAAATGCTTAAAATCCTCTTTGGTTCTATTCTCTTAAATTTTTTGAGTTCAGCCCTAACTTCTAATAAATCTCTTTCAGAATCTATAACGCTCATTTCTTTCCTTTTAATATTTACTTACTTATTTATTTATTTTTCTATTAATCGCTTATTTTTATAATCACAGCTATTTAATTAATAAAATAATAATTAATTTTATTTAGACAAAAAGATTTATTTTTTAATCTTCAAAATCATCAAAGCGACAGACATAACTTTCTTTGCAAGTAAATAGCTAGCTAAATCCACTTAAAAAAGCTTAACATAGCTATATATAATTCAATAAAAATACACACATAATTCAATCCAATAAATAATCGAAATTAATTTGAATTTCCCTCACTCTTTGAAGAACTTGAATTATTTATTTATTATTTGCTTGTTTAAATTTTGATAAACTCGCTTGATAAAAACTTGATAAAATTTTTAAAAATTAAAAAATCTAATACAAAATTTTAATAAAATTTGACATAAATTTATTTATTTTTTTGAGAAAAGTTGCAGTTATTTACTTACTATAAAATAATTTAATTTTTATTATATAAAACTTCTATTGGAAAAATATAAATTAAATTTTGTTGGATGAAATCACTCCATTATTTCTCTCTTTTTAACATTCCACACTTTTACTGTTTTATCCCTAAATTAATTAAGAAATTAATAAATAAATATTTTTACTTTTTCAAATTTTCAAACAAATTTTAAATACCAAGATGCAGTCGCCACATTTTCACTTTCATCTATTGCTAATCCCCAAATACCATATGAATGTGAAAGTAAACTTCTAATACAATCTCCTTGTTCCCAATCCCAAAGCCTAAGCATACAATCTTCAGAACCAGAAGCAATAATCGTATCAGAAAGTTTAACCAAGCACCATACTGGTCCTGTATGTCCATGTAATTATTGAATAGTTTTATTTGTCTCCATATTCCAAATACGAATTGTGTAGTCTGAAGAGCCTGTGGCCATCTTTTTACCAGGTTCAATTTCTAAAATTGACCAAATCGGCAATTGATGTCCTCTTAAAATAGTTTCCACTTGAGAAGTCTATAGACTCCAAATTCTAAGTGTGTTATCTCTACCTGTATTTATAATAAAAAATGATATTCATATTCATTTTAAATTCTTATTTTACTTCCCGATGCTATCTTTTAATTTGATATGGCTTTAATGACTCTGACAAAATCATCATGACCTTAAAGTGTTTGCAAACAATTACCAGAGTTTATATCCCAAACTTTAACAGTTTTGTCTTCAGAACCACTAATCAATTTATCAGGTTCATCAGGAGGCTAACTCAATGATCTCACACCTCCTTCATGACCTGTGATAGTTTTAACAAGAGAATAATCGTTGCAATTCCAAATCTTAATCGTCTTATCGCTTGATGCACTAGCAAATTTATTATTACCAATATAAAGAACGGCTCTTACTTATTCAGTATGGTCTGTTTTAGTTGCTATAGCAGGACCACCTTTAATAGCATCCCAAATCTTAATAGATCTATTTGAAAATAAAATTAATTAAATTATTTTGTTAAATTGATTATATTTTTTACTTGTCTTCACTACCACTGACGAATCTATTACCAGGAAGAGAAGCTACAGTCCAAACAGCTTTTTCATGTTAGAAAGTGTGAATAACTTCAAGCTTTTTACTTGCCCAAATAATAACCATGTTATCCTATATTATTATTTTAAAGTTAAACAATTTCATAATATAAAATTTGTTTTTCTATTTACTTCTGCACAACTTGCTAAGTTACCATCTTGTAAAACTCTTAATTGTCTAATAGGGAATTTATGTCCTTCTAACTTCCTAATCATGTCACCTGTTTTTGGATTCCAAATTCTGATAGTATTATCAGCCCTTTTTTAAAATACATTTTTTTTTACTTGACAAAAAATATTAATTTAATTTACGATCCTGTTGCTATAGTATTATCCGTGAGCACAACCAGAGAGTAGATGAAAGAGTTATGAGCTTTGAATTTTTAGACCATAACACTCTTTTCAGGATCCCAAATTTAGACCATACCATCTCTCGAACCCGTCACCACATAACCATTTTTCATTACATCAATTGCATAAACATAATCATTATTAGAGTCAAAAGAGTTCAAGATTTCACCAGTTTTGAGATCCCAAATCTTAACTGATCTTAAAATTTAATAAATAATTTAGATATTTTTAAATTTCTTAAGTTAAAAATTAATTAATACTTGTCATCTGAGCAAGAAATAATCTTGTTATCCTTTGTTAAATGCAATCTTCTAATGTAATCATCGTGACCATAATAAGATCTTAACAACTAGCCAGTCTTTACATTCCAAAGCTTTATAACTTAATCTTAACCTATTTTTTAGTAGTAAAAACAATTATAATTTACTTCTTATTTTTTAAAGACTCTTTTGATAATTTATTTCTATGTAAAAATATAATTTTGAATAAATTAATTAGTCTTGTTTTGAACTTTTTATATTTTTTTAAGATTAATTTTAAGTCCAGTAAATTTTTTAATAAAAAAATATTGAAAGTAAAAAAGATCTTTATGTATTTATTTACCAGCTGAAAGAAGATTGCCGTCAGGGAGTGGTTGCAGTGCAAGGATGGTTTTTACGTGACCTGTGAGAGCTTTTTCAAGTTCATTCTTTGCAGCACTGTAAAATTTGATAACGTTATCTTTAGCAACTACAATATTACCATCAGGCATAGTAGCAATAGCATTCAAGTTTTTATCGAATAAATCTGTTGTTTAAGTGCACTAGTGAGTTTCTGTATCCCAAAATCTAAGTGTCTCTTTAAGTTAAATAAAACAACAATAAATTAAAAGCTGCAAAATAGATTATTATAGCTTATAATTTTAATATTTTTATATGAGAATGTGAATTACTGTCTTTTGAACAAGAAACAAGAGTTCCGTCATTTAAGACAGTCATATCCATAACATGGTCTGTGTGACCAACATACATCTTCAACATTTCAGCTGATCTTGAATGCCATGACAAATCTATCATCTTGATATCATGATGCTCTAGTAGTTATCTTATTTATTTATTAATTTATTTATTTGATTAAATAGATTTTTAAAGTTTATCTTCAAAAATATTTAGAACTGAAGCAAGTGCTTGTTGAATTTTATAATTAAATGATTGATATAAAATTTCTACTTTAGCTTCTCTTTTATGTATTCTAGAATTTCATCTTTTATCTTCTTGAATTTTGCGGTGTCAAACACTGGAAGCTTTTTAACCTTGTCTTTTATTTCTAAGCTTTGGATTGAATTGAGACTTGTGTTTTTCAATAAATCTTCACAAAGATCAGAAACGTTATCATACATATTGCCAGGACATTTTTCAATTTTTTGCTTTGTTGTTGGATCCTTTCTGTTAAGGATTTAATTTGTTTCTTCGACTGCATTATCAATGGCATCGTACATTTATTTATTATGAATTTTAAATTTGTCTTGTGCATTTTCATAAACTATTTTTGTCAGTTTCATTAGATCTACAAAGCTATTTTAAACTACACTTTCGAAAGCTTTCCTGTCATCTAACAATTTATTTTAATTTGCCTCTGTTGCAGCATATAACAAATTTTCCTTCATAATTTTATCTCTTTGATCTTCAAGATTTATGTAATTTTACAAATATTATCTAATATTCTACAAATTCTTCGCATGATGTGAATGGGAAGAAACCATGCAAGTAGCACAAGCTAATCTATCCTTGCAAGTACCAATATTACAAACATACATAATTGGTTGGGTTTCATGACCTTATTTCTTGCACTTTATGCTGAGCATAAAATTTTCTACTGTTGGTGATGTCATCTCTTTCTACTAGCAATAAATATATATATTCCTTTACTTAATCCTCTAACTTTATATTGGGTTTTATTATAATTAATTGACTGCTCTTTTAATTAATATTCAATAAAATTGATTATTATATTTATAATTATTAAATATTCTCCTCTACTAAGGTATTGTTTATATCTAACTAATTATCTAATTCTTTTGCCAAAAAGTATATGTAATCATTCATTCTCTCTAAAATTCACTGATATTAATTATTTAATCATCATAAAATATCTCTCATCTTATAGCCTAAAAATTTACAGCTCATCATATCTCATATATCTCATGGCTAAATAATTACTGAATATCCAAGATATTCAGTTCAGTCCATTCATAGTATTCAAAAATCCCATTATAAATTTTTCCTATGATTTACTAAAGTTATATTCACATATATACATATATATATACATATTTTCAATTACTGTTTTTTGTTTGCTAGTTTTATGGCTCTTAACCTCCTTTGAGCTTTACTGACCTTAATTTTTTAGAGCATCATTAAATAATGTTAAGAATTGATAAATTTACTTGTTTATTATAATGATTAACAAATTTCTGGCTTTAAAAATAAAGATAATTTTTAGAATATTTTTTAATTTAAAATCATATTCTATTTTACAAATTTAATTTTTTTAAAAGATACAACTAAATAATTTAATTATTTATTTATTTTTAATTTTAAATATTTATGGTTATATTTTTATTATATAATTCAATTTGTTTTTTTATTAAATTCTTTAAAATAACAAATTAAATTTTATATTTAATATGCAAAAAACTTAAATTTTTTTTTGTAAGCATAATTTTGTTGCCATTTTTTTTAATTATTACCATAATAAATTTTAAATTATAATAAAAAGAAGCAATTAAATAAATAAAATTATTTGTTAGTAACTATTAAATATTGTAATACAAATATATAGACAGACAGACAGACAGTTTAAATAAAGTTAGGAAAATCATTATTACCTAAATAGGCAATTTTTTTTATATTATACTATTTGAAAATGATTATTTAAATGGTTAATTTGATTTATTTATTTATTGGTTATTTAGTAAGTTTAATTAAGATATTTTGGCCATAATTATGATTTTTAAATACAGGGAAGTTAAATAATTTAGTTATTCGAGTTTTTATTTATTAAAATATAATTGGTTCAAATATTGTTGATATTATTATTATTGTTTGTTGCATTGTTGCTATTTATCATATCTACAAGTTGGTTTATTGTAGGTCTAGGTATAATATTACTTTTACGCTTTCCCTTGAGGGTTACGCTTTTATCTTAGGCTTATACTGAGGAAGAACCGTTGTTATTGTTATTTGAGCTTCTTTTTCTTCTTTGTTGGGTTTTATTTGAGTATTTATTAATGACATCTGTAACTTTTCTTGTAGGAATACTTGTCAATTTCGTGGGACTTCCATTAAAACTGAGTGCTTCTAGCTTATCTGGAGATTTTAGAGGTGTTATATTTTCCTTTGAACCTCTAGTTAAATCTACGGCTGTTCTTGTTTTATTTATTTAGGCTTTAATTGTTGTTTAAACTTAGATTTTGACAAATTTGCTTGAAGCAAAGCTATCTCCAACACCATCCTCTTACATTTTTTTTTCGCTTTACATCATTCTTTAAGCAATAATATTGTTTCTATGTCTTTAACTAAGATTTTACAAGCTTCCATTAGCACTTTCTTTTATAAAATTGAGACAGTCTTATGAACCTTTGGGCACTGTATCATTTTTTTAGTTTTCAGTTACTTCTTAGACTTAATTAATTAAAGAATTCTATGAAAATACTAATTGCTGAATTTAATGAGGTAAGTTGTTAGATTCATTGATAAAATTTTATTTTTCGGATTGTTGTCTCTTTAATTGAGCTATTTCCGAATCTTAATTGATGCAATTGGATATGTTTTCGATATCACTGTTGTTGCTTGGTCTTTAATGAGTATTAAAATAAGATTTGTTCCTGTTATTGTTGTAGTGTTCATGATTCAATTTCTTCATGGATCTTGCTTCCTATATTTTGCAAATCGAATCCATAAATCTTATTGAAGATTATTATGATAAGGAATTGTTGCTTTAGATTAGATGATTAGGATTATTAAAACTGTTTTAATTACTTTTGTTATTTGCATCGTACTCGTTACTTTAAAATTTACTTAAGTGATTTACAGTTTAGTAAACTTATTTTGGGTTAGGTTCATCGTTAAAGCTTTTGATTGCATCACTTTCGGAGCTTTCTTTTCTTCTTTAATTTATTATTTATTGTATTTTGTTTTATTTATTGTAAGAAAGCTATCTTTAAATATGATCAAATTGCTAATTGTTATGGTCTTCATTTTATTAATTTTAAAGTACACATTATTAATTAGGGTAAATATTATTTTAGTTACATTCTTCATCTTATTTTGCTTGAATTTAACTTTGGTATTTTACATTTTAAAGTTGAATTTCATTATCAGAACAAGGAGAATCAGACTGATTTTCATCAGATAGATTTTGTTTAGGGTAGATAAATATGAGCAATACTACATCATAAATGAGCTCAAAAGCTAAGAAAATTGCATATAAGAATCCTACATAATGAATATAAACTTTAACAAAGCTAGCATTTTCAATTAAATAAGTATGTAACGACTAATCGCTTTTTATAAATAAAATGTATGCTATTGATGTAATTTCGCATAAACGAATAAGCCCAGGCACAAATTTCAAGATAAAAAGTTATCTGTTAGTCATGCCTTCAAATATTCTGGCTATATTCCATCTACTTACTTTAATTACTATTCCTTGAAGACAAGAAACAATAATGAGCATAACTTTTTCAAAATATGTTTTCGAGACTTCAAAACAGCAATTTATGATACCAATGATAATAACTAAAACAATCACAGCTGCGACAAATAAGACTTCCTAATTAATTAATTTAAAAGTATTAATTTTTTTTTTTTTTGAAATAGATTTATATGTAAATTTTGCAGCGCTGGTTATTTAATTAGCTAGTAAAATAATTCGAATGTACGTTTGCTGCTTTTCTATAATCTGAATTTATTAAAAAATTTGTTTTCTTCTATGTCAGTAAATTTAAATGAATGCATAAAACGATGAATGGCTGAAAAATGGGGAAGTATTTTATTTTATTAAATGATTATTTAAATTTTTTGATAAAAATCAAAGATTTTGTTTGAATGATTGTATCAGTAAATAAAATAATGAAGTAATAGTTTTTTGATAAAATCTGAATGATCGGAATAAATCAGAATTTATTTAGTTAAAGGTATTATTTAAAAAACCAAAACCAATTTTATTAAATTTTTTACATGTCTTTGATTATTATAGCACTTACATATCAATAATTGCAAATCTTCCCATTTAATAATATTAACTTAATTATTTTTAATTCGGTAATATCAAAATCTTATTATCAAAAATTCTAAATAATGAACTAATTTTTTATTTCATTCATTCATGTTTGTTTTTCTTTCTAACTTTTTTGATGGACACAATTCATTCATTCATTCCTTCAAAATCAAAACGAATTATTTTTAATTTTATAAAATTAGCTATTAAAATGCGTTAGCTCTGTAATATTTTTTATGTATGTATGTATTTATTTATTTATTTACCAGTTCATATACGAGCAGGATAGAGTAGTTGCCAAAAAAGTTAACTTGGTGAGCTATGCCGAATAGAAGGGCTCGTATTGAGAGATCTAGAAAATGATGATAGAATGACAGAGAAAAAAATATGTTATCTCTCAAAAATTTGAGGAATGTGCAAATAGTGAAGGGGATTTAGCGAAAGAGTAATGATTGCTAATCAATTTTTTAAAGTTCATATTTGACTTGTGATGCTTCCTCGTCTTCATCATCATCATCTTCGTCATCGTCGTCTTTGAAACAGACACAGCAGAGGTCAAAAAAGTTAAAAAGAAACTAAATTGTATCATCGAATAAATCGGTACTGAAGAAAGTCATGTGAAAGGCTAAGTCAAATACCTAAAAAAAGATGTAAACAAAGAAAAATCCTGAAGTCAAATCTATGGATGAGATCCAAGTAGTTGATTCGAAATCTGTAGTTTCTCTTTGGTCAGTTTGAAAGAGAGCTAAAGAAGTTATAATTACACTAGAGAAACTTTAAAAAAGAAGAGCAAGGCGTTTTTTACGTAAATTGTTTTCATTAAATATTTTGATAAAATCTGAAGACTGTACATAAAAGGCTTAATAAGCCTAAGCATAAACAAAATCCAAATTAAAAAAACTTAAAATGACAAAGATTACTCCCACGATTTTACGAGGAAAAAGAACCAAAAAATAGTCGTATTTTTTAATTTAATAAACTATGTAAACGAGTCCCACAACTATTGAAATCAAATTAAAAGAGAGCAAAGTCCAGGCAAGTGACTGGTTAATCTATAAAACTATAGCAAAGTTAACCCATTAAAGTATTATCTGTATTAAAAATATTATGGCAGCACATAATCTGATAATTTGCCAAAGAGTGCAGCATTATTTACTTTGCATGTTGTTGTTTGTCTAATTGCTAATAAGATAATTTTGGTTATATTCTGCTGAAATGCTATTTGAAATTGATGGCTTTTTATCACTGTTATTATTGTTGTTGTGATTATTATTATTATTGCAGATAACGGTTTGTGAATTCTAAATTAACGCATTCGTGTATTAATTTTTAGAACTCTGATCATGCACTCCGTTCAGATTTTGATATTCAATTTACGAAGGGTTATTTATATTATTATGAGCTTACAAAATTTCCATTGTTTTTAAAGAAGATATTTTTTGGTGTTAATTGGCTGTGTTATCTTCGTCGTTAGTTGGCTAGGACTGCTACTTGATTTGTGACTTTTAGCGCCATTGAGAATTAGTATCTGGGATGGACATTCTATTAATTTTAGCTAGTGTGTATTGCTCCTCTAAGACAGCCATGTGTATGCTGTTTTGATTGGTTTAATTCCCTTGGTAACTCTCTTACAAGATTGCAGCATCATAAATAGGAGTCCTGGGACAAGATGTATTTTATAGATGTTTTTAATTGATAACTGGACTGTCATTTTGAAGGTGAATGTTTTCTGTATGGCTTTAGATGTTGTTTGCTGGTGATTTTGCATCTTCCTCTGGAATTTATTAAATAATTTGTTAGTCATTTGAAGAAGATCTATTCATCTCTTAAAAAAGATTTTTTTGTATTTGAATTAGAAATCAAGATATAAGATAGTGCTTATTTTATGATTTTGAAGTAGTAAGCAATGCTCTTAATCTATCTAGAAAGAATAATTAAATAACTAGGTAAAATAATGCAAGCAGATATTAAAATATATTCGTCAGTGAGTGAGATAATAGCTTTGTTGCAACGAACTAGCGTATAATCTCAGCTTCAAAAGAGATTGCTGGTAATCCAGTTGGGATATGCAGTACCTATCGAGAGCTTTGCTAAAAATTTATTTTAGTTTATCACTTATTTGTGAATGCTTTTATCTTCCTTTTTTTTGTTGCTTGATTAAATTATTTGATATTTATTCAAACTGTTTTGCAATTAAGATAAAGCTGATATTTTTTTTGGAATTACTTAAAATTGAAGATTTGTGGATAATTAAAAAATATACTGTGAGATGAAAAAGTGCGTGCGTGCTTCTTGTTAATATTTCTTTGCTTGCTTGATTGTTAATGTAATTTCAATCAATCAATTAATTAATAAAATGAATCAATTAACTAATTTTTTTTTTTATAATAAATACTTATCTAATTTACTTTTTGTTAATTGTAATAATGATAAAAATAAATATTACTATTTATTTTCTGATTTTATACTTAATCTTGAATTTTACTATGAAAAAATGAATCAATTCAATTCAATTATTTATATTTATTTACTCTGTATGTAAATCCTATTTTCCTGCAAAGCTTTCCTCTACATTACTCCTCCTTTCTTCAAATCCATAAAATTTTTTATGATCAAAATTTAAATATTTATTTAGTGATTTATTTATTCATTCGCTTTAAAAGCAAACAATGGCGTTCACAAACAACTTTTTACTAAAAAATAATAAAACTAGCCAAAACAAGCAAACAAACTAAGAATCAATTAATAAATAATTTAAAGAATACAAACCGTAATTTTTTACACTAAAATTAAATATTTTGATTCATTGAAAATAGCATGTAATCCAATATATACTCACTATTTAAATAATCAGTAGATGATTTTTTTAATTATTTTCTATGAAAATTTTAGTAACACCATAAACTTAAATGATAAGTAATTACTTTCTTTTAAATTATTAATTAATCATCATTTTTCTATCAGCAAATTTAATTATTTGTCTCACGTTTTTTCTAGGCAAAGATTACTTGATTATAGGCTAATGCTATTTATTCCTCTATATAAAAAAATTACATTCCAATAAATTATTTGTAAAATTAGTAAAATTTTGAATATTAACAATATTTTTAAAACTTTTTCAGATCAGAATCCAGTTAAATCCTTAATTTAAAATGGTAGAAAGCAGATAAAATATTATGTAATGATAATACAACTTTAAAGAGAGTAAGCAATATGATATAATTATTAAAGAATAAAAACTAAAAACTCAAAGCAAACATAGTCCAACAGAAAAGTTACTCTAATAAAAAAAATTAAGATATAAACTTCTTTCGTCTTAATTTTGATAATCTTTATTACAGTTAAAGAAACACAATTTTACAAATGAAGGTAAAACTGTAAAAAGAATGATTGATTTACTATGATTTAATTATTTCTAAAGATTATCAAAGATAGATAAGTAATCTAATCAAACATCGACAAATGATGCAAAATCTATTTTCAATCACTTGAAAGCTACCAAAATATTAATTAATTATAAGTGTAAAATTTGTATACTGATAATTACGAAACAGTATATCTCAGATTAAAATCAAATAAGCAAAATCAAAAAATTGAGAAGTAAAACCGGTTGCTCAGCAACTAATTTTAACTTCTTAATATTTCTTGTTAGTTATAGCAACAAAGAATAAATATTTTTATCTTGAAAAATATCTTTTTTTCACAAAACTAACTGTATAAATTTTCATATTTATTTGTAATAAAATGAAGAATTAATTAAAAATAATTTCTCAAAGCAAGCGAAATCTAAAAAACAATAAACATTTTAAGATAACCATAAATAAATAAATAAATATGTATTAAAAGGTAAAGTAATTTACAAAATTTTAAAAATAGATACTTCTAAATACTAAATTATGTAATATTTCATTATTTTAAATATAAAAAACTACCTTGATAGAACGAACAATAGCCTACTTAATTCTTTCACTTCTTTTTTTATTCATGCTTTTATACACAATAAATACTTTTTTTTGAGTGGTTATTACTGTTTTTCTTGTTATTAATTACTATTATAAGAATATTATTCTCTCTTTATGATAAATTATTGTTATTATAATTAGTTATTATTTTATTGTTCATTATTTTTATCACCAATTTTGACTATTATTATCATATTAAAGCTAGTTATTTTCTTCGCTTATCGTATTTTTGAAATTATTACTATATATAAAGCAAAATATTCAAAGGCTAATTGATGATTAGATGCTGCTATAGATATTTAGCTATATTTGATTACCTTATTTGTTTTTAATGCGAATTTTCTGGATAATATTCAAGTCTTAGTCTAGTTTTACATTAGATCGTGTAAGTAACATCGGTCAGTAAGGAAGTAATAAAGGATTCGATACTTAAATTTAAGCTGGCTGTTGTTATAAAGCAATTACATGCAGTAAATAAACTTCAGCTCAAAGTAATTATTAAAATTCGAATATTTGATAATTAATTAATTAATTTTTTGAAGGAATTAAGAAGGTCTTACACTATTTTAAATAATATTGACATAAAATTTATAATTCTCCATATTTTATCATTTAAAAAAAGAACTTACTTACTTACATAAACAAAATTATAGTAATTAAGACAAGCGCTTTTTTAGTTAATATGTTTATTTATTCATTTAATGCGTTAGACTAATTATTATTATATAATATGGAGAGCTGTTTCCTATCTTGTCTTTTAAGACTGATAATTATTGATTTATAAGATTTATTATTAAATTTATTGTTTTTATAATTTATTTAAAGGAAAATATTTTATCAATGACAAGAGCTTTAAACTCAAGATAAATAATTAGTGAGTGAGTATTTATTTATTTGTTTATTTATTTATTTGATTTATTTGTTGGCATGCATGACTTTTTTTCAATTTTAATAGAAGCATTCATTGAATTCTTCAGACTCCTAGTGAAGTATCTGTAAATTAATTAAATTAGATATTTATTATTTAAGTGTTTGTTCAAATTTATAAAATTGCCTTAGTTGGCTTTTTTTAATAGATTTAATAATTTTCTCAATAAAAAAAGAAGTTACTTCTTTGTATAGCAAAATATTGTTTATGTGATTCGGATAATGATCTTATATGATTTGGTCAAGATAATCTTTTTCTACCTATTATTATAATAATATATTGTTTCATTATAAATTTATAGAAAATCCTCTATAACTCATTGATTATTTTTACTGGCAGAATTATTGAGAAAATTTGCAAAAATGTTTGAATTTCTTTATTTTTTTATTAATTTAATAATTACTTCATCAGGCTGGGTGAATTGAGATCCTCTCCATATGTGAATTTTTATTTAATCGTCTTACTGCTTGCATAAAATACACAAGCTGTCGTCCATCAAGTCTTCTAGATCGAACACATTTAATGGGTCCTTTTCAGGATAAATGAACAACTTTGGCTTTTATTTATTATTTTGTCCGTAGACTCCTTCTCTTTTGTCGTCTTCGTCTTCGTCATCATCGTAATAGTTGATTTACTTGTAATTCTTTTTTTTTAGTCAAAATTTGGTAAGCAAAAAATTTTTATGAATCAGAAATATGTAAATTTGGTTGATGTATGAATATAAAAATGCGCTTATTATTTTTCTAATTTTTCAATTTGATTTTCTTTTTTGTTTGCTAACGCACGAGCAATTCGTCCACGACAATAAATTATATTTGTTAGTAATTTGAATTCTAAATCTTGAATTATTTTAAATTAATTATGATTTGATTACATCAGATGATTTTGTAATGTCCAAAAACCAATTATTCCATTCTCTATTTTATGAATAAGCATTCAGAGGCTTCTAAGGGAACCACATCTGCCAGAACTCCTCGCTTTCATCGCCCTATTTAACTATTTCCAATTCCTAAGGAGCATGCTCATATTATCTTAAATTTTCTATATATCGCAGCGAATAATCTTGATATCTTTTATTATCGCATTTAAATGAGTAAATAAAAAGTTCGTTTGTAAAATGAAATAAATAAATACATTTGTTGTCTTTCGGGAGGAATCTCATTACCTACCCAAATATACATTTTTTCAGGTGCTTGAATGATAAATACACCTCTAGGGTCTAGTTTGTTGTTAGGATCTTTAGGATCTTATTTATTGCTTGAGTAGAGTCCCTCAAGAAGCTATTGATTTAAGAAAAAAAGGTATAAATTTAACAATGCAGTAGCAATAAAAAAGAAAATTTAGATTTTTAAAGTTTTGTTGATCGATCTCAAAATTCTTCAAAGAAAAGATAATAAGAAAACAATCAATAAAATAATGAATGAATGAATGAATGAATAATTGATTTTAGGCTAATTTGAAATAAAATTTTATTTGTAGAATTTTATTTTTGAGTATAAAAAAGCTATTATTTTTATTAATAAATAATATTGGCCCAGAAGAAATTTTAATAATGAAATTAGAATTAAAAATTGCTTAAGTTAATAACTGAAAATTTATAGAATGTAAATCTAATTTTATGCTTTTGTAAGCTTTTGTTTTCAATCAATTCTTTTATTAAAAAATTTGTTTTTTGTATCTCTAATTCAAAATATCATCAACTTTAGACCAAATTTAATTTCTAATATACCATTTTTGCAACTATTTACTGTGGCTCTTCAACTTAGTGACTACAAACGCACCACACTCTTGGCTTTACGCTGATGCTATCGTAAGGGGCGTATAATCTTTTATGAAAGTTTATCAGTTGAACTAAGAAACCTTGATTTGGAGAAGCAACATGCCTTTTCTCTTTAACTTATTTTAAAGCATCTTAGAATGATAATTTTCCTGCTTCCTTCCATATTTTGTAAGCTATGCAAAGTGTAACAGATCTTTATAACAAAAAATTATTGTTTATCATTTAGACTTAAATGTAAAAAAATCTACCTTGAAATACCTTAGACGCAATGAATAAAGACTCTACCACCTTACTGAGATACGTCTTCTATAAATTTGATGGTGTCATAAAATATGCACTCAATATTCTACAATTTTTTTATTTAATTATAAGAATAAATATAAAAGAATAAAAGGTTTACTTCAGTTTTAGCATCTTTTAATCTGTAAGTTTTGTAAACAAAATCTTCTGGAAATGTATTTTTGCATACATCACCTGCACAGTTGATGATATGTGTTATCCCGTTTTACTTAAGTTTTTATTTATTGTTAGCAACTTCCTCGCCACTTACGTACAAAAAATTAGGAGTAATCTCGCTGCATATTTTTGCAAATATTTTGATCAATTTGGTTGTGTCTATTTTTACTCCATCTTGCTCCTTTTATTAATTGAAATAATTGTAAACTAAAATTTAAATTTTAAAATGACCTCTAATTAATTAATTAATTTTATTTGTCATTTTAATTTCCCATTTTAATTGACTAAAAAGAGTATTCTTAAATCTTAAAATAAAATTTATATCACTCGATAACTGTAAACAAATAAAAATCTAAATATAAAGAAAGTAGCTATTTATTTTTTAATTATTTTTTGAGCTTAACTTTTTTTTAGTCTTTAGAGGGAATTTAGATTTTTTGTTGTAACAAAAACAAAAATATTTATTTATTTTTACATTTTCTAAAAAAGCTTAGAAATTTGATTCGTCATAGAATTCCTCTCTATTATCCCACTCATTTTCGTCTTTTTAGTGGTTTGCTATTTATGATTCTGCAAAATTATTTTAGCCATTTATTTTACCAAGCTTAATTCCTGGAAGCTAATTTTTTTTCATCAATTCTGCCATTATAGAACTACTAGTTGGATTTGGACCAGATGATCCACGATGACTTGGTAATGGCTATCCCTATCCTAGCTGAGCATTTGCATTATTAATTTTAAATCCATATGAATTATTGTAGTTATTAGGAACTTAATCCTGCATTTCTTCAGAATCATTATTATTTGAACTGTTCTGATCTTCACTTCCCGAGTCTCTTCCGTAATTTTAATGAAAATTATCTGCGTCATTCTGAACGGGTAAATTTAAAACGAAATTATTTTGATTATTTTCTCCCCCAAAATTAGGTTTATAAAAATTCTATGCTTTCTCTTAAGGATCTTCGTCTATGTTGCCATGCTTTATGTTCCAATCGATATCTACAGTTTAAACATTATCTAATTCTTCCTCTTCACCCATTTAATTTGGATCTCCATATTAATATCCATCTATATTATTATGATTCTATTCTTACTCAAATTATTAAACCTATTAGTTTGTCTTTTAAAAGTGGTTGTTGAAATTTTAGTTATATCCATTACAATCACTATTGTTGTTGTTATTATTTATAATATTTGGTGCTTAATTATTGTTTTTATTTAAATTTGTCAGGTTTATTTTGAATCCTTTCTTTCCCATTAGGTTATTTATATTATTGAAAGGAGGAATAGCATTATTTTAAATCACTGGAGGAGATTATTGATATCCTTCATAATTATTTTATTCTTATCCATTTAAATTGTAATTAATATTATTTTCCTATCTTTACATGAAATCATCATCTGGCTAGGCATACCCATTCTAAGGCATGAACTACTCTTAATTTTAATACATTCCAGGCTAAAATTGTTACTGCTGTTATATAAATTGATATTCGTTGCTGTTGTTGCTGTTGATCTAATCTTAATATTTTAATAAATAAGATTTATTATATAATTTATTTAATAAAAATATTTGTTTTTAAATATTTTAATTCATTTATTTTCTTTAATTAATTTTCACATGAATATTGTTTTATTTAAACTATTTTAAATTAAAAACTTCAAATTTTTTTGCTTATTTTTAAATAAGTTTTATTTTAAGTATTTTAATTTATTTGAAAAAGAATTTCTTTTTCGTTAGAAATATTACAACTAATAATTTAATTAAATAATTTGTAATTTAAAATTGATTTATTTATTTATTACCAAAACCTGCTAGTTTTGCATCTTGAATTTTTTTGGATTAGCCAGTTTTTTTAGATGAAGGAGGAATCCTTATAAAGTTGTTGATGTAATTGAAAGAACTGCTTTATTCACAGAATTGTTTCTTGAAGAATTTAAGATAGTGAGTTTCTGATGCAGCAGTTGTGTTTGAATCTACACTAGAGGAAGAATAAAATTACTATTAATTTACATCATCTTGTTAGAATTCGTTTTCTTATTGAGTTCCGTTTTCTGCACCATTGCTGTTAGAGTTAAAGTTGTTTTAGCTATTTATATTCATCTAATTATTATTCTCTTAGCCATTTTGCTAATTTTACCCATTTTGTATATAATTTAAGTTATTCTAATTCATTTAATTGTCTTGCTATTAACAACCTGCTCCTGCAACCTAAGGTGTTGTATTTCCTCTAAAAGAATTTAAAGGGAACAAAAATTTGAAAAGAAAAATAGTCTAACTCATTTTGCTAATTTCCTATTCCAATTCTTTTATAACATTAATTTATTTTTAAAATTTTTCTCATTTCAATTAAAGTTTACCTTTGTTATGAGGTCTATTTGATGTACTATTTAGCTAAATTACTTTGCCGTTTTTTAGCTTATCTTTCAAAATTACTCCTCCTTCAAAAAAAATCTATTAAATAATTAATAAAATAAATATTCACTATAAAAACCATATTATTGTTATAAAAGTTACCTAAAGTATATTTTCTCTTCCCTTTTCAATAAGAGATTCTAAATCATAAGCTGATGATAGAGCTAATGATTTTATGAGAGGATTTGAAGTTTTGCCATTCCAAACAAAAATCATGTGCTCAAAGTTTACTGAGATTTTTTCTTTTTTATAGTTAGGAAGTAAGAAGCTATCAAGGATTTCCAAATTTAGCTCGCTTGTTGAGAGTGGATATTCCAGGCCTCTAGGAGTTAAGTTATTATAAGATTCAACAATACCCCACATTGAGTGAGGGAAGCTCACGAAAGTATTTTTATCTATAATTAAAAAAAGTAGTTTTAACTAAACACCATGTTAATTTCAAATATAATTTTAATAGTGTTTCAAATATATCTGTAATATACTCTAATAAGAAAAGCAAATTTTGCATTACTAAATATTTATATTTTTATAATCTCTAAAATAAATACTCTATTAATTTATTTATTTATTTATTTATTTATTTATTTAAAAATGTTTGTAAATTTAAACAATTTCTTTTTAAAAAGTTTTTTTATCTTAATCATATTAAATAATAAATTCTGCTAAAAATTGTTTAATCCTTCTAAAAAATCACATCTTAATTATTTTTATTGATAAGTTAGCTTAAAAGAAGTTTAATTTAAGCAAATTTAAACTACGAAGTTTAAGATGATAAATTTAGACTAAATTATTTAATTTATTTTATTAATTGACTAAATTCTATTTTATGTTTTGCAAAAATTATCCTTGTTAACAATCTATTAATTTCACTAAAATTATTAAATTAGATTAAAAGATTAAATAAATTTTCATAAAAATGATCTTTCTTATATTTGAAGTAATAGATTCATTATTTTGCCTTTAATCAAGTGATTCAATCATTCTCATTCATTCATTTTGTTTAGTTTGATTTATTTCATATTTGAGATTTTGAATTTAAATTGTGTGATTTCTTAATCTGATTAGAGTAAATAAAATATTGCTTGATTATAAAGTGTTATTTACCTTAGTCTTTTGAGCGTCTGTAGACTACTAGGACTACGTAACATTCTTTAGATAAGAACGTGAAATCTATTTATTATAAAATTTACGTTATCATTTTGCTTAAAATGAATCCTTATCGAATTTTAAAAGATTTTAAAAATTGTTTTGCATCTAATACAAATTGATTTTTCATATTGAAATTATCAATATTGCAATTTCATTTATTTATTGTTTGTTGCTAGAATTGTAATAATAATTCAAAGAGAACAAATGTAATTTACTCGAGTTTTGCAAATTTTATAACGAAATAGCTGAGTTAAGTATTTTGCTTTCCTCTTCATAAAATCTCCATATCTATTAAATAATTGAAAGGTATTATAAATCTTTAAACAAACAGCCATTAACAATTAATTAATTAGCTAACTAACTAACTAAATAAATAAATTTTTAACCAAATTAATAGCCTTTGCATTAAATTTTATTTTGGCAGTGAAAATATGGCTAAAGCTTTAAAATTATTTCTTTATTGAAGAACTTTTCAACACTTAAAGCTATTAAAATGTTTTTTATATTGCTTTTTTTATGGTGCTTTAGGTGCTAATGTTTTTATAAATTAAAAACCTACTTTAATATTTTGTGTAATGCTTTCTGGTATTTTAGATTCTAAATTAACTTGCTCTAATTTTTTGGGATTAAGCTGAAGAATATCATCAAGCTAAGATACATATTTATCTATACTAATTTTGCTGCCCATTTTCTATTTACTTTATGCCCTTTCTAGATTGTTTTTATTTGTTCACTTAAGCTTTTTTTGAAGCGCTTTTTCTAATTTTAAAAATTAAAACATTATTAATTTTCTGATTGCACAAAGAAAATAAAGTCAGTCGACTTGTTTCCCTTTATAAAATAAAAAACTTTCAGATATTTTCTGAAGTTTGGTTGTTTCAGCTCAAAAGCGAAATAATAATAATTGTTTTTGAAACTTAAATTGCTAAATATTTAGTTTACTTTGCCTGTTATTAAACCTATAGAAATTAATTTTTGAACGATTGCTTGCTTTCTTGCTATTTGTATTTCTGCTTAGATTAATTGATAGTTGTTTGTTGGTTATGCTTCTTCTTCTTTCTCTTTTCTTATTGATTAATTAATTAAATTAATTGAAATGATTCTTTATTATATTATCGATTGATGAAAGTCTTTTATTACATAACATTATTTAATTTAACAATATTTGCATAAATTAATAATGATTAATATTCATTCATAATTCAATTCTATTAATCTATCTATCTATCAATCCATTATTAATAAATAGAAAAAGATAAATAGATAGGATATATATATATATAAATAAATAAACAATATCTCTTTCTCAAATATATGATTTAATTAATTAATTTATAATGGATTAGTTGATTTTAATTATAAGTTGAATGTGTACGTATAAATATAAACTCCATCTATCTTTTATATAGGATTTTATGACAAAATAAAGAAATAAATTTTACTTTACTTTTTTGATAGAAAATCTGCTTTGAAGATAACTTGTTAGTAAATTATCTTCACAGATTTAATATAAAATATAGTTGTTTGCTTAATTACTTGTTAGATAAGTTTTATATATGCCTTTAATTATTTATATGCTCGTATTTTCATTTGCTTTGAAGATCATTAATTAATTCAAATTAATAGCTCGAATAACACAAAGTTATAATTTGTTTAAATTCGTTGAAATTTAATTAATTTTATTCAATCAAATTTATTTTTATTAAAATTTCTAAATTTAAATTTTTGGTAAATATTAATTTTTTTTAGTTAATTAGTATTTTATTTTCCATTTACTTAAACTGATTGATTATTTTTGAATTATTTAAATTGATAACTTAACTACTAATTTTATAGTTAATATTTTTTTTTTAAGGTTTTAATTTTGTTTCTTAACTATTTAAATTTCAATTATTCTATTAAAGTAAATTATTTTTTCCTTTCTCAAAATTTTCTATGAAATACTTTCTCTTAAGAATTTAACGAATTAAATTATTTAGCTGTTAATAAATTCTAAATTCAAAATAAATAGTTTTAAAATTTTACATTCATTTATTTAATTGAATGTTTTAAAATAATAATTCATTAAAAAAAATAAATATAAAATTAAATAATTTGAGGGGAATAAAATTTATTATGACATACTATTAAATTCTCTTGATAGTATTTTATAATTATATTAGGATAACATTAGCTCAATCAGCATGAAAGATATTTTATATTATAACAATTAATTAATTTTAAAATATCTCAAAAGATATAAATTAGAAATAAAATTATATCCTTTAATATTAATTTTAATTAAATTCTTAACCATTTTTAAACAAAAATATTTTAAAGTTTTCAATTTAGAATGCAAAATAGCAGTAAAAATAGATAGATAGATAGATAGATAGATAGATAGATAGGTAGATTAATTTTGCTGAATTTTTTTTCAAATAATGTATAAATTATTTCAATTAGCAATTACAATCAATTATATCAACTCTTAGCCTGGTCTATCTATTCATCAAAAACTTGTTTACTTTAAAACTAAATTTTTGATTTTATTCAGCTTACTACTGGATTATTATATTCTCAGCTTTGATTGTGAATCCCCAGGTCTGGCTCTTTAAATTATTAAAAATAAGTAAAGAAATGAATGAATACTTAAAAAACTACAAAAAAGTTAAGAAAAAAAATTATCAGGAAATTAATTTCTGATTATTGCTAATTAAATTACTAAAAAAATTAGTGATTATAAAGTATTTTAAAAAGTATGAAAATAAGTTTATTTTTACTATTAATAAGAAAGATACATTCTCAAAACTTTAAGCTAGAGACATTTTGACAAAGCTAAACATAATCTATATGTACCCTCACAGCCAATTTCTTTGTAACTTATAAGATTTAAATATTTTTTTGTATTAAAGGAATAAATAATGTAAATATAAAAACAATTTTTTCATTTAACTTATGAACTGATTAAAAGTTTATTATCATTTATTATATAATTTTAAAGAAGTTAATCAAATCTTTTGTTGTAATTAATTTACAAAAAGCTAAAATTTAATGTTTTTACTTAAGATCAAGTGTCAAAATCTATAAATTAGCACATTTTGCTAAATTTGATCCTATCTAGAAAGCTCCAAATTCCCCGATTTCATTAGAACTATTTATAAATAAATAAGATATTTAATTAGTTAGTTAAGATAAAATGAATATTTTTAAATCAAATAAATGATTTTTGTAATTTAAAATTGGGAACTATAAAACTAATTATAAGTTACAATGAATGTAACAAACAAACAAATCAACAATTTATTTATAACTCACCAAATTTAAGAAAGTATTAACAATATTATATAATAAACAAAATATATGATTTACATGCAAAGATCTTCGTAATCAACTCTGAGTCCATGTCATATTTTTTTTATATATAAATTATAATAATATTAATAAGTAATTTGTTATATGTAAACTATTATCTCCTTGCTTAAAATTTATGATTAATATTAAATAGAAAAGTAATAAAACAAAATTGACAAATATTACGAAAGCTGAATAGTTAAAGATTATAGTTTAGGACAATTTGTTAAAGCTAGACCTAAATCCTTAGCTCCCTATGGTTTTATGCCATTTCCTCTTTTAATAAACATTAATAATTGGCATAATTAATATTTTAATTTTATGAATCTATTTAAGTTATGTTAGAAATGAAATAATGATAGATTTTTTTTATTATTTTTATAAGAATAATTTATTAATAATGTAAAAATTTTATTTTTTATACTCAAGACAAAGAGTCAAATCCATTAGGTTCTTACAACTTGATAATGCAGAGCCTAACTATAATACACCCGAATCTTAAATCCAATTGACACTTTTATTTATTTATTCCAAATAAAGTTTAATTTTAAAGAAAAATTGATTAAAATAATGAGATTCTTAAAATAAATAAAAAATAAATATTTTATAAAATTTCAGATATAAAATAATTAATATATATGTTTGTTTGTTTGTTTGTCTATTAATTTTTTTATTTCTATTATTAAATATTGTTTTTTTTTCGTTGCTTTAAATGAAAGGAGAAAAATTTTTTCTTGAAGTTATTTTTGTTGATTCTATCAAAAAAAGATAGAAGAAATTAAAATAAATTAGTATATTTTACCCTAAATAAAGTGTGAGATTTTGGAGATTAGAGCAATTAGCCAAAGCAGAGCATAGACTCTATAATTCTTCCTCATTTATTTCAAACTCCCTTATTTAAATAAAAATTTATTTTTATATATGGGTTAAAGCTGTTAAAAATTAAGAGTAATATATTAGAATAAAGAAACTATTCGGTATTTTAAATGAATTCTATGATTGAGACTGAATAATTTATAATAAAATTTACTCAGGCACAATAAACAAAGAGCAATAATCCTCATAACTATTAATTAAACGAAAAAGAAATTTTAATAGAGTATTTTTAAATTTAAATATTGAAAGAAAATAAGAATAAAGTAAATTTATATTAAGTATTTAATTTACTCATAACTTTGCATATCTAATTCAAGATGAGTGTGAGAATTTAATTAAGATTTTAGAAACTTTATTTGTAATAGAATAAAATTTTTTTCGATTTTAAATAATATTATGGTCATTTAATTACATCTTCAAGCTTGCGAAATTTTATTTACTTTTGTATCATTTTTTTAAGCGATTTTTATTTTTTATGAAAAAATGCTATTATGATTTAAAATTCTCAATTATTTTACTTCTTTTATGAAAGTATCTCTAATTAAATATAAGAAGTATTATTTTCTTTAATTAGTTAATTTGTTTGTATGTTTGTATGAATGAATGATTAATTATCTTTTATCAAATCAGATCAGATAAGATTAAATGAGATTATTTTTAAGTTGGACTTTTTATAGTGGTAGTCAGTGAAAGAATTAAAGAAAAAAAATATATATATAGATTTGATATAAAATATGTTGCTAATTGCAGTTTTTTTTATAATAGAGAGATAAATAGAAATTAATATAATATTAAATAAATTTATATAATGGTATTTTATATATTTTTTCATGTAATTTGTATTTAGTTTTTATAATTTAAATAAATTTTAATAAAAGTTTCAAATTATTTTTTTTTGGAGAAACTATAGGGTTCCTTAAGAGGAATTAATTTATTTAAGTAAATTTAATTTTTTTATTTTTTATAAATAATTTATTTACTAAAAAAATAAATATGAATGATATTTATAAATGTAAATCAATAATAAATTCTATCTATTTATTTATATTTTAGATTAAAAAAAACTTTTCAAAATATTATATAATATTATTCAAACATTTAATATTTATTCATCCTTCTTTCGTGATTTCTTTATAATCAGAATAATTTTTTAAAGACAACTAATCTTTTTGATTTAAGACACTTGCTTATAACTTTGAATTTTTATGATTTATTGATTTGGCTAATATTTTATAATAAATTTGTGTAAATTTTAAATAAATATCAAAATAGAATAAACTTTTAAATTAAAAAATATTTCTTAAATTAATAAATAAAATAGCATTAGTGGTATAATAAAGATAAAAAAATAAATCAAATAAAAGCTATCAAATAAATTCAAAGAGTTTTATTGTTTTTAATTAGTTTTTATAATTAAAAATATCACAATCCAAAACAAATTAACTGTTTTTACCGAAGGTCAAGTGTCAAATTTGAGAGATTAATGCAATTTGCTAAACCAGAACCTAAGCCTGATGCACCCATTGCACCAATTTAATTCTCACTTTTTAAATATTGAAGAAAAAATATATCATAAAATAGTTAATGAGAAAGAAAAAATGAAGAAAAAATATGAAATAATAAGATTAATTAATTAATTAATAATAAAAGTAAAAAATATGAAAATCAAAGGATGAGCTAAATAAATTAACAAAGAAAGAACAAAAAAAAGCAAGCACAATAAAAAGAAAAAGAAAAAAGAGTTTTATTGTTTTTAAATAGTTTATATAATTCAAAATATCACAATCTAGACAAATAAACTGTTTTTACTAAAGGTCAAGTGTCAAATTTGAGAGATTAATGCAATTTGCTAAACCAGAACCTAAACCTGATGCACCCATTGAACCAATTTAATTCTCACTTTTTAAATATTGAAGAAAAAATATATCATAAAATAGTTAATGAGAAAAAAATAATGAAGAAAAAATATGAAATAATAAGATTAATTAATTAATAATAAAAGTAAAAAATATCAAAATCAAAGGATGAGCTAAATAAATTAACAAAGAAATTACAAAAAAAACCAAGCACAATAAAAAGAAAAAGAAAAAAGAGCTTTATTGTTTTTAAATAGTTTTTATAATTCGAAATATCACAATCCAAGACAAATAAACTGTTTTTACTAAAGGTTAAGTGTCAAATTTGAGAGATTAATGCAATTTGCTAAACCAGAACCTAAACCTGATGCACCCATTGCACCAATTTAATTACTACTTTTTAAATATTGAAGAAAAAATATATCATAAAATAGTTAATGAGAAAAAAATAATGAAGAAAAAATATGAAATAATAAGATTAATTAATTAATAATAAAAGTAAAAAATATCAAAATCAAAGGATGAGCTAAATAAATTAACAAAGAAATTACAAAAAAAACCAAGCACAATAAAAAGAAAAAGAAAAAAGAGCTTTATTGTTTTTAATTAGTTTTTATAATTAAAAATATCACAATCCAAAACAAATTAACTGTTTTTACCTAAGGTCAAGTGTCAAATTTGAGAGATTAATGCAATTTGCTAAACCAGAACCTAAGCCTGATGCACCTTCGTCACCAATTTAATTGAAACTTTTTAAATATT